TGAGTACAGCGAGGACAAACTGTGCAACCTCTGTAAAGCTCTGCTTGGGCTGGGACAGGAGAGCACAGGAGCACCAGGATCTTGCTTAGTGCAGAGCATCTGCTTGTGTGCTTTTCCTCCAAATCCCCTTCAAACTTCATCTTGCTTCTTTCATTGAACTTCTCCCTCAGACAATGCAAAATCCATTCAGCTGGACGTTTGCCCCCACCTCCTCTCTGTATTTCCCAGCTGTGAGATAGAGCCAAAAGTTTTGTCATACCTGACTTGAGCGGCTGTGGAGGAGCACCCCGCAGGCTCTTGGCCAACACAACTTGTTAGTCGAGCGTTTTCCTCCCAGCTCTGCTGCCATTTGCCATTCCCTCCCCTGTCCTGGTCCTTCCCTGCATGCCCCCTCCCTCCCACAGAGCAGGCAGGACGCGTGGCTCCATATTTTTCACTGGGATGTTTTCCGTTGCCGTCCCGATTCTTGAGCGTAGTTTCCAGGGACCAGTTTTCCTGGAAAAAACAGCTGCACCCTGAAAAACGATGGATTTTCTGTACCAAAACCCCCTCTGCACTCGCTTTGGGAAGGTCAGGAGACTCTGAATCTGTTGGGCTCTTTAATCTCTTTCACAAGTCTCCTGTAATGGGCTGCCAGTTGCGACCTGCCTGTCTGCCAGCACCATAAAATGAGCTTCCTGCCCCATGTGTTCTCCCTCAGTTTGGGCTCCTCAGGCTGCTGGAGCAGTGCATGGGAGAGGAGAGGTATTGCTGCTTACGGGAAAAAAAACCAATGGGATAACAAAGTCTGCTTGTAACTTTTAGGCTGCTTGTTTTGGTTGAATAGTGCTAGTTCTGTTCCTCAGGAACATCTCTCCTTTTTAGGTTCAGGCAGGAGAGGCACTGAAAAAATAGCTTTTACAGACGTGTGAGATCCAATAAATTAGGACACTGTGGTCACTGGAACTGTTATTGTGGTTTAAACTGCTACTGCTTACCCCATGGAAAGAAAGTGCTTTCTTTTTCATTAGGGGCTTAGAAGATTGATTGTTTCCTGCTGTGCAAGAGCTGTGCTGGGATAGCTTTCACAACCTGGTTTGGGTCTTTGGAGACTGCATGGATGCTGAAATATTCTCCTTCATGCCGCAGCCACCAGCCTTAGCCTCATTTAATGTGCAAAAACCTGTTAATACTTGTGTGCTAAGCTCAACTGGTGGGCTAGGACTCCTGGGGTTAGTTGAATTAAAGCTGCTCTTTCCATTTGTCTCCTCCTCAGGGTTTGTTTTCTTACAGTTTGGGCCAAAAAGTGCCAGGGGACCACCCAGCAATGGGTGAGCTGTGGCTGGGGGCTGGTCATGCCAGCAGCCAGATGGTGTTAAGGACAATCAGGTGTTGTCAAGGACGGGGCTTTGGTGCTGAGTGTTGTCCTGTGCCTGGCTGGTGTGCCAGTGATGCCAGCCCACACTGTTCTGGCTTTTCTTCTCACTTCCCTTCCCCTTTGACCCTTTTCCATCCCCTGCTGAGGATGGGCAGGACCCCGAGCTCTGAGGGCAGTCACGGTGTGCTGTAAATGCCAGATCTCTTATTTACTGGGTAGCACTGGCCAAGCAAACTCAGGTGCTCAGCTTTGCATCAAAATACAGGAATAATCTGGTTTTCTAAATACATGGAGATTTAGTATTGGAAAGCCTGTGTAATAAGCTGGATTTTTATTAACTGTATTACCAAATGCCTCAAATCTCCTGTCTTTAAGCAGCAAGGTAAGTGCTGGAAACTGAGGCATAAAAAGAAATCAGTGGGAAATATTTGAATTTAAATAGTTCCTTATCTGGACACTTTTATCCTGGCAGACGAGCACATTGTTTATGTCACGTTGCAAGAGTTTTAAGCCAAATTTAGAAAGTGGTTTTAGTCTGGAGCAAGCATTCCCCTAGGTAGTATTATGCTGCTGTAGCAATATCGTTTTCATTGTGCCATTTGAAGTAGTGAAATCTCCCCACACTGGCAAAGAGCTTCTCTTGACAGCAGACACCCCAGCAGCCCCAGGGCCAGGGTGCTGCTCACTGGCATCCATGGGTCACTCTGTGCCCAGCTCTGCCCTCTGAGAAAGTAAAGATGCAGCTGAGGGAGTGCAGAAGGCTGTGACTGAAATCTGCAGCAGCGTAAGTACAGTATCAATCTGTGCACACTCATATTTTCCTTGGCAAGCTGTATGACTGTAAACAGCAAAGTATTCCAAGGCAGTCTTTTTTTTTTTTCTTTCTCTTGACTGAGCAATGAGTTTTCCCTGCACATCTCTCTTCTGATCTGATTGATTCAGCATGTAGCAGAATTATTTCCCCCCCTTTTTTCATTAAAGAAAATTGTAGGCCCCCTGCCTTCTCGTTATATTTGACGTCTTTGTCTCTAGATGGCAGAAGGCAGTTTCCAGTGGTTGCTTACCACAGCTTCTTGGCATGTGCACAGGCCTGAGGGATGTAGTGCCTAGCTGGAAAAAGGCAGATAACTTTCCTGTTCACAGGATTCCCATAAAATAGAAGTGCTGAATCCAAGCAAGCCATAGCTTGTGTTTATTCAGGAGTGTGCTCTGCATGCTGGAGGGAATTGGTACAGAAGAGGTGAAATGCTGGCTCTGAGCTCAGTGGCACAATTTTGGTTGTTTTAAACAGCTCTTCCATCTCTCACCTTAGATATGACCAAGTATCTTTTTGCCCAGTTGTGTTGCCCAGGAGTTATAAACCCTTGAACACGAAGGAAAGCCTTGGATGACACCTTTGACTCCCAGAGTTTCCTGTTCTGTCTGCTGTAATCATTTCAATTTTCAGTATTGCTGATGGGTTTCCAGATTGTGTGTTGCTGTTGCATTTCCCTTGCCTTAGGTTTCCTTTTCCCAAGTAACCAGTGTTTGTAGTATACAGGGGAGCAGGTAGGAGGAGAGAGCATCCTTCTGGCTCAACAAGGACCATCCTCTCCCTGCCTGCTCCATCCCTGTCTCTTAAGCTCTCAGCTAGTCCAGAACATGGTTGTGTTGTTCTTTGTATCTCTGGTGAGTTTTACCAGAACTCCCAATTTGAGTCAGAAGTAACACACCCAGTAGCAGTTGCAACTTGTTGATGTGTCTCTGGAGCACATCTCCGGTGTAGCCTCAGCTAAGAAATGCTGCTTACTCTCTAAAACTGCTCCATTCAAAACAAGAAGGAGGAGTGGTGGTTCCAAACTGAAGCACAGAGGTAAATGTTCTGGCTAAAAAGCCTTTTATATGCAAATATATTCTTTAATTTTCCATCTTGATGGCCACAGTTAGAATAGTGTGGAGAATACTGTGAGATTTCAGCCCTGGATGGATTAACCAAACCCAGGAGTCAAAGACTGGGGCTGGGCTCTGTGTATGCTCTGGCCATGGGGAGCTTCTCTGGCAGATGATTTTCCTTTTTGGCTCAGAGTCAGAGGAGGTGGATGCTGTGTCATGTTTTATCTCACTCCATCTGAAGGATCATGCAAGGAAAAAGTGGAGAGTCACAGCCCTCTCCTGCTTCAGTGTCACAGCCTCCACTGTAGCTGAAGTTTGGAGTAGCCCTGAAGTGCTGATGTTTGAGCTGGTCCCTGATGGCTCTTGGCAGCCTCCTCCCTGCCAGTCCTGTGGTAAAGGAAGTTCAAGTTCAGGGGAAAATTAAGTCCAATCCATCTTAAACTCAACTGCTTCCTCCTTGTAAGTGTCAGTGGAGTGACTAAGAGGGTTTCCTAACCCCAGAGGTTGCGTGCCCCTGTCTGCTGAGCACTTCCTGAGGGAGACAGAGCATGACAGGACAGGGAAGAGCAAGCTGCTGTGGGATTTATTTGTAGCAGGGAATCAGGGGGGCTTGGTGGAGTAGCTCAGGGTCTGTCTAAGAGTGTGTGAGAGAACGTGTCACACCACCATGTTCTGGCTCTGGCTCAGTACCTCCACTCCCTCCTCTATAATTGTCTGAAGTCTTCCAAATTTGTATCGGATATAATGAGATGATGAAGTTGTCTTTTGTGGTGACTTTTTCATGTAGTAAACATGGCCTTTCACAGCTCTGGGGTGTGGACTGTAATGAGTTTGGAACCGTTTGTTTCTCTGGCAAGCTGAAAGGGAGTGAATTCACCAGGAATCTTTGATCAGCTCCATTAAGCATCTGTATGGGCTCCAACAGGCATTACACTGTCCAGCTATCCTATGAGAAGGGGGTGCTGTTAAAATGACTGTGTTGGGAGATAGGATGAACTAATTCAGATTGGCAATCCATTTTTTAATATAGTCATTGCAGTGAGATTTATAAATTCTTCTAAAACATAAAAGTACTGACTTTTATGGAAGTATCCTGTTATTAGGATATTTCTACCTGAAAGAGGCTAGAAAGCACTGTATCTTTAAACACAGAGCTTGATGTTCCAAATGTGGGATTATTGTTTCATGTGTAAACTACACAGGATTGCATATTCCTTGTTGGACATACTGGAGCATATGGATGAAGTAAATGAAGGACAGCAGCACTGATTTCCACCCTTTCTCCCTGCTATGCCCACTCACATCATCTTTCAAACCTCACTTGCCATGCCCAGGGCTGACAACTGGTGCTAAGGAAAGGCAGGGCTGGACAGAACCCGCAAGAGAAGGTGTGAACAAGTCCAGCAGCTTCAGCACTGGGCAAGGAAAAAGCCTTCCCTGTCTTCTCATTGACTCTCCCCCTCAAGGCTCCCGTTCGTGAATGTGCATTTCCCATCCGAGCTCATAAACAGTCCTTCTGGTTACCCGTCATTGGCCCCAGGGGAGAGCAGTGAATCAGCTTTTGGCCTTGTAGAGCTCCTTGCTGAGCAGATGTGCTGGTGGGGCAGGAATGGTTTGGATGAGGACACACAAGCTGGTTGTCCCACATGTCCCCGTGCCCTGCTGCTTTCCCAAGTGCTGCACTGGGTGCAGGGGGGTGCATTTTGTGACTGACTGTCTTTACACCAGCCAGCCTCAATAACTAACATTCGTGTTTGCCTCCTCTCCTCAGGGTTTTCCTGGTAATTTTGGGGAACGAGGACCTCCAGGCATCGATGGGAACCCTGTAAGTTGATAACTTTTTCCTTCCTTTCTTTCTATTGCAGTAGATGCTGTACTGCATCAAGCTGAGTGAAGCTTTTCAGTTTGGTGTCAGCTGCTGGCTGGTTTTATCCCTCCTGAGAAACAAATGTACATCCCTGCCCTGCTTGAGCTGCCCTGCTGTGAATTTTTGTGTTCAATTCCTGTAACTGCCAGCTCATCACTTGCCATTAGCTTTCTGTCTCCCTCTCTTGCCTTCCTTGCACCTCACTCTTGATAGTTGCTTTCTCATCCTGAGGATGTGACTAGAAGAAAATCAGGAGAGAAGGGGGAGGGATGTTGCTCTGGCTGAGCAGGCAGTGGTTGGACCGTGTTGTCCGTACCACAGGGCACAAGAAGTGCCAGATTCCCCACTCCAGTGCCTGGGAGCACCGAGGGACTCACTCCCCAGGCTGCTGCCCTGCCCCATGCCTCAGGCTGCCCTGGAACTCCACAGGGAGAAGTCTCCAGTCTCCAGAGCTCTTGGCCTCCCCCTGGTCTTCATCTGACCCCTGCTGGCTTACTAAGAATGGGATGTGTCTCCTGGGAATTGGGTCAGAATGGTCACAGAGACCATTTAAGCAGCTGAGTGCTGATAAGGTTTAATTTGCTCTGCTCTTGTAGCACTTAACACCACACAGTTGGGGATGTGTTGTGTTTTCCTCTTCTCTCAGAACATGCCCTCGTGGATTGCAATAGTTCTCAGATGTATTAATTATTCTTAATTATTTTCTGAATGACTTTGTTGGTTCTCCCTCAATTAGCATGTGAGCAGCACTGATTCATCTTTGAAATTCCTGCTGTCTTGGTTATTCACACACAATCACCGTTGCCGCTCTGGTGTTTGATGGGATGATTTGTGTGAAGTAACCCACTCCACATGTGTCTGCAAGTTCCCATTCGTCATATATGCAGCCTAAAAGTTATTTTCACAACCTACTCCAATCACTAAGCCAAGCTCAGCTACACTCCAGCTTTTGTGGGAATTCAACACAAGAGTCATAAATGCAGTGAACTGAAAGAATTTGATTCCCAAGGAATACTTCTGCAGGACTTTTCCCATCCTTCAGTCAACTTAAGCCATGGGCCAGAGTGGAATCAGTAGTCCCAAAGTAGAAGCCTTTCTGATTGTATTGCTATTTCCAGCCAGCCCACCAGGAAGAGCAGGAATCCTGAAGGTCAGGAAGACTTTTTTTTTTTTCCCAAAATAATTTATTTTGTTTTCTTTTAAACATGCAAGTTGTCTAAGGCCCATTCAGAAGATATCCTCAGTGCCAGCCAGCTGAACGGCAGTTCCCAGAGCAGCAAACGTCCCTTCCCTTAATTCACCCAGAACCATCGCTCTTCTTTCATCTTATCAACGGCTTTTAAATATTAATGTGCCTTGGAGGTTGCAGAATGAAAACAGCCTGTTTCGGCTGACTTAAAGGGAGGTTCACAGGGTCACGAGCGGAGTCACAGACGCAGAAAAATGCCAGAAAGTCTGTTTGTGGAGCACACAAATATGCCGGGTTTGGTAGGTGGGGGGTGCGGCTGAGCTGCCGGCAGGCGGGAGGGCTGCCACGGTCCGGGGCTGCCACATCCTCTGTTTGATCCGCTGCTCTCGTGGGGATGGCTGAAGCCGACAGTCTCTGATCTGCTTTCCGTCCCCTCCAGGCAGAGCACAGGCTCTTCCAACCCCGGGGGCCTTCTCCCGTCCTACCAGCTCGCTGAGAAATGTTGAGCCATCGCATTCCAGATCCCCATTCCCGGAGTGCTTAGCCACTCCAATTAGGCTCTTAATCACAGGAATTAGACATGGGAAAGGGCTGTTGATTCATCTCCTTCTCTCTTGTCCCAGTGCCCGGTTCATGCACTGAAGAAAGGAGAATAGAGCCTGATTTCCCTCACAGGTCAGGGACCAGCCTGTCATTACTGAGGGCCAGGAAAGACCACTTGTAAATCCTTCATTTCCCAGGGCAGAGAATGGCTCCAATTAACAACCAGTCTGTCCACATCTCTCAGGGGAGTCCACCCCCTCCTCTTCCAAGAGGAAATCCTCTTCCGTTAGCCATGAGGTCATGCATTTCAACATATATCCTTTCTCTTGAGGAATATCCACATGACATAACTCAGACATATGGGAAGTCCCTCTTGAAACTTGTGGGACCAAGAGCTGACCATCCACCCAGTCCACAGTCCAGCCACCCTGGGAGCCTTCAGAGCTTCCTGGGAAACCCAGGCCACCACGCAGCTCCTGTGCTCAGCATTCCTGGGATACTCCCTCTTCTTTCTGAGCCTAGTAATGCCAGGCCTTGACTATAAGCTCAAAACCAACCTTATAACAGTAGCTCTGAGGACACAGCAATCCCACCCATGAGGAACAATTGCTCCCCAGATGTCCCAAGTATGCAGGAAAGGAACCGGCCATAAAAAAGCAATTTTAGGCTGGTTGAGATTATGAAACGCTTTTTGTGTGTGCTTGCCCAATAGTCCTTTACTCCACTTCCCATAAAATAAACACACGTAACCCTTTACCCAAGGAGCCTGAGCACACTGAGTCACGTTGCGTCCCCTTCTCTTTCCTTCTTCCACCAGGCAAATCTTTCCATAAAAGGGGAGCTTTATTGCACTGGAGGGGACTCCACCAGATGTGCACCATAAACTGAGCTGGGCTGTCAAAGAAAGTAGCCAGCGTGATCCAGAGCAGGGGTAGGGCTGTCTGAGCCAAGGGGAAGTTCAGCATTTCCAATGCACTTGTTTTGAGAGGCCCCATTGGAGATGGAGGTGTGTAAGAGCAGGTCCTTGCCCCGACAAGCAACCCACTGTCAGCATGGGCAGGGAGGCCACCGAGGGAGACATGGGACAGCCTGAGAACCCCATGGTTGCTGAAGCACTTAGAGACCTGGATAGGTGAGTTGGGGGGGTCTGACACAGATTCTCTGCTGCACTTCAGCTGGAGGTGCCATCAGGCACCTGCTGGTGCTCCTGGCACCTGCAAGTCTTTGGGAAGATCACACAGAGGGAGTTTGTGGTGAAGCTGAGAAGCCAAACCAGACTCACAAGCCCCAACAGCAGAATGATGAGCTCCAAGGTGCTCTTGGAAAGCCTCTAAGAGGATCTGATGCTTTTCAAAATGTTCCAGCTTGGGAGTGGTTTGTGAGAGATGGCAGATGGGCACAGAGCCCAAAAGGAAATCTCTGCAGTCCATCTCCTGCTCTCTGCAGGGGGATTAAAAGGGGCTCATCCTTTAAGCAAGTGCTGGGATCCCTGCAGGGAGCTCCCTGCTCCAGGGACAGAGGGGCTGAGCCAGCTCCCTCCAGACCAGCTGCTGTTTGAAGGCCGGGGCTTTTCCTGAAAATTAAAGAAATGGCTAGTCCATGGTCTGGGCAGAAGCCCAGGTGGATAAGGCAGAGGATGCTGCTGGTTCCCCACCTTCAACCAGCTCTTGGATACAGAGGAAGCAGCCTCAGACTGTCCTGTGTGACAATGACAATCCCAGGGCCCATTGGCCAGGATCAGAAGCTGCCATACCCTCTCCCCAAATTACCTGGTTTCATGTTCATGCAGGTCTTCTTTTTGTTATGAGTTCTTTGTTACTTAGCCAGTCCCAAAAAACTCACCTTTCCCAATGCTATGCAGCAGCTTTCCTCTCCTTCCTACTCTGCTGTCCCCATTCTCCCTCCCCACTCTGGTCCCTCTCCCTGCCCATGGCAGGATCTCACCTGGGACAGGCTCCCACCTCTTCCCTGCCTGCACAGTCAAATGCTCCTTTCATCCAGCCTGCTCCTGAGAGGGAAGGCAGCCCTGGGAATAACTGGCCAACAACAAGCAGCCCTGTGTCTGCCAAGGATGTGCTCTCAAGAGCGCTCCTGGAGATGGAAGTTCTGGATCACTATGGCTGGGGAAGGGGCTGGGGGAGGGGGGAAGTGAGGTATGGAGGGGGGAGGGACGGTCTTTTCCCTTCCTTCAAGCTCTTGAAACACTGAACTGCCTTTCAGCCTCTCCTTCTCTATAAAGTGTCCGTAACCGTGTGGGTTTGTGTTTCCTTTTAGGGAGAATTGGGAGCCCCAGGTCCTCCTGGAGTCCTTGGACTCATTGTAAGTACAAAAACAAATGGAGATCTGGCTTCTCGGGCTTTAACCCTTTCAACCTGCATAACTACACACAGATTTTCCTCTTCCTGTGGCAGGGCAGGGAGCAGGATGACTGTTTGTATGGGGGAGGCATGACATCTGGGGAGAGAGGGGGTTTCCTGATGGAATGGGAGGTGAAGGAGGGCAAACCCTTTCCAAGCAAAAGGAAACAGGTTAAAGGTTTGCTGTTAGTTCCTTTTTATGTGATAACTTGCCCTTTTGATAACATTTGCCAGGGTATTTCTTCAAAGCTGCAACATTCATTCCACACCAGGATCTGTTGTCTCTTAAAAAGCAAACAGTGACCTCAGGGGCACACAGTTCTTGTTCACTGGAGAAACTGTGGGCAGGAACAGTCTGTCCTCTGGGAGTGCAGGAATTTTATGTGCACCCTCACCATCCCATCACTAATCCAGGTAATTATGTACACAACCAAATTCCACCCTTCATTACACTCTTCTCCAGCAGGAGACAAATGGCTGTAAGGATGGGTGGCAACTCCTCCTCTGGCAGATGTGCTGGGGGTTAGTGAATGCCCAGCTGAACATATTAGGGTTTATTTTTAGGTCTCAGTACTTGTTTCAGGTTGTTCCCTTCCATGCACAGAAAGGGGTTGGCTCTGTTAGTACTGCAGCATTCTTTCAAGATGATTCCTCCTCAGCTATGATAATCCATGGAAACTCAACTTGCAATGAATGGTTAAAAACCTTTCCCTTCTGCCTTTCCATATCTTAAATTATGGAAGTGTGTATGTCAGCTGAGATCAAGGTCTTGATTGCACTAGACACTGCACAAACACAGGGCACCAAACCCAGAAATCTTATATTCCTTGAAGGAAAAGCAGGAAATATGGTGGAACACCCATCTCAGAGATGGGGGATTGGGGCAGAGGTGGATTAAGGCTTCAGAAAGTTTTCTATGGAGCCAGGAATTAGGTCTGTGTTTCCTCTCATTAGAGGAGATGAAAGAAGCTGCTTTAGCCATAGAAGCAGAAAGGATGTGCTCCTGGCAAAGAGCTGGAAGAGGAAGATTGCTGTTTAAAATAATACCATTGAAGGTATGGTCCAAATTGGATCATATTTCTCCTTGCTTTTGGAAAGATTTCTCTTTACCTGGTTGCCATTATCTCACAGTTATTTGTTTGTTAGAAAGTGAAAAGTTAGACATGGTAATTGTGATTATGATCCTTCCAGAGATGATGGAATCAGAGGCTGCCTGTCCTCCCCTCCATGACCTCATCCATCCTCCTGGGGAGAAGGGGGCACATCCATCCTGCCTTTTCCTCCCTGTGGGACAGCTCCAGCCTCCTTCCCTGGGGTCCACACGTGGGACTCACACTGCAGGGCATGGAGAAGGTGACAGATGGGTGATAGATGCAAGCTGGGCCCCATTCAGTCCCTTCCTCCTTCCCACCTACAGCCACCCCAGGAATCATCCAGGATCCCGGTTCCTCACGCACCACGCAGGGATTTGGTGACTGGAGAGCAGAATTAGATGTAACTAAAGCTTCTCTCTCTTCTAATTAACCATGTGGGCAAAGCCTTAAGCAAACTTGTTCCTACAAGCAGCCTTTATGCCGGGAGGTATGAAAAGGGCTCTGTTGGGGTGGCTGCAGCCCAGCACTCCCCACGTGGCCACGGGCCCGGGGCTGCAGCCGGAGAAACGCTCCTTCAGGGAGCTGCCCTGTTTATTTACACTCTGAGGCCAGACTGGTGCACCCTGTCACTGACTCTCTTCACGGGCAGAAAGCAGCCAGAGCCCGTTTAAATGCCGGCACTGAAGGGTTCCTGTTGTACAGCACACGTGGAGACGAGGGCAGCCGTGAGCCCCACTGTCCTCCTGCACTGCACTGAGTCCCAACACACAATGCCACACTGACTTCCCGCTGCAGCACCTCTGTGTTTCATACCTCCTGTTTCTCCCCTCTCCTCCCCGTATTGCTTTTATACATCAGAGCTCAGTAGTCACCCAAATTTCCTGACTGTTGCCTTTTTTTGCTGTGTGGGTCTGTGTCCTTTGTAACACACCCTCAGACTCTTTCCGGAGAACTCAGGAATGTTGTGGTAGTTTCTTTCTGAGAACAGCAATAACTTCACCGAGAATAAATACATCCTAGGATTGTCTTAAACCAGCTCAATATTTTAATTTTTCAAATAGTGGAAGAGATAAATTTAACCATACAAAAGTTAAGAAGAACATTAAAAAAGAAAATTATTAGATCCTACCACAGTTGCAAACTTCAAGGTGGTTCCTTAATTAATTTTCTATTATTTTACCATTAATTTACCAGCCTGAATTCCTGATCTACTTTTTAAGAGGCTGTATAGACATTATGGGTCTCTTGACTTGTGCCAGGATGCTTCTGCTGAGGTCAGTGGTGCAACTCTTCAGGGATACTGAGACCAGGTAGCAGAGGAATATCACCCCACGTGCAGTGATTTCTTTGTTTTGCACCTAATGACTTTGGTCATTTTCTTTCTCCTACTAGGGTGACATGGGCCCTGTCGGACCGATTGGCCATCCAGGACCAAAAGGATTAAAGGTGAGAGAGTAACTGAGCTGTGTGAGCTCTCATCCCTCCACAGCAGGGCTGAAGGTTTCTCTGTTCCTCCCTTGGGCAGTGGTGACTGTCCTGAGAGAAAGGACGGGCAGCAGTGATGAGTGTCCACTTTCCCAGGCACACAACTGTTGAACACAACATCCCACTGGTGGTCTGCAGTAGGTGTAAGTTAGTGGAGAATTCCAGAAGCATTTTCCCTGTGTGCCTCCAGCCCACGAAGGGTGTTTAAAGAATGTGCGATGAGCACACCTTGGGAGCAGTCTGGCATTTGGCCTTCAGACTGTGCCAGGCCAATGCTGTGTGTCTGAGGCACCAACCCCACTGGGGACATCAATGTCATAGACCTGAGCAACTCTCTGCTGTGGCTCAGCCTCACTCTGAACTTTCTTTTGTTTCAGGGGCTGATGGGAAACCCTGGAGAACATGGACTGAAAGGTGATAAGGTGATCTGAATACTCCCTTATTGCACTGTGTTTTAATTTTGCATGTGAAATCCCCTTTCTAGTTTCTCTTTCTTATTCAGTACCATGGTACTGGTTCCACTCTGGCTGTCTCTGACCCCATCCTCCCACCCTGCCTCCATTCCTGTCTTAATTTTAATTCCTTTGATGATATCTGCCCCATCCCCTTTTCCATGGAGTTCTAGTATAGATCAGTTATGCTCAGATCCTCTTCGGAGCTCCCAGCTCCCACTGATGATGACAGTAATTCTATGATTATCTGGTGTTTGACTGTTTTTATGCTTTTATATTGGTTAGATGATGTGATAGGGAGGAGGATGAACATCTAACACTGACCATAAACAAATTTTTATAAATGCATTTAGGGGAAACATGTGATGTGGCAAAGCAGCACTGGATCAAACAAACCAGGTGGATCGCCTGGAAAAACTGTTCTGTGTTAGATACCTCTGCTCCTGTTCAGAGACACTCACCTCAGTTTGGCCTCCTGCTGAGAGGAAAGTGCCTTGCCCCAAACTGATATAAATCATTTGAGAAAGAGCAAAATGGAGAGGGGCCTTGATTGCAGTGATTTAGTGGTGCTGGCACAAAACCACGCAGCTTGAGCTGGATCAGCATGAAGCTGTGTGTGTAAATGTCTCACTGTCATGAGAACCATCCTCCTGCAGATATTGGACCATAGGATTTATTTAGTCTGAAAGAGTGGGAGGTGCAGTCATTTATTGCTGGCTCTGATTGTTCAGGAGGGCAGTGGAAAATGACCATTAAATGTATTATCCTCCTCCCGTTGGATGTTTTATTCTCTTGTTAGATGTTTGCTTTTAGAGGATGATTTAGCAGCCCAAAACTGCACAGGGGGGAATAGTGTCAAGCCAGTTGATTCAACTCTCCTTATATATTAGCAGCTCTTTGCCAGGGCTCCTGTGTCTGCAGTTTCCATTTCTCCCCTCTGCTGCCTTTTCACTTCTGTAGAGAGGAAGGACAGGGCAAGAGAAAGGTTTTTTCTTTGGGACAAGCTTAAGACACTGTCGCTGGTTTCTTGTCTCAACACCAGTTCCTAGAGCCCACGGACTCTTCTGTCTGCTCCTTGGAATAAATAGTTTACTATATTAAGAATTACCAAGATTTAAATCATTGTTTAGCAAAATTAGCCTTCCTGGACATTAATCTCCATCACTTTACACAAACTGCTCTGTTTATCTCCAGTATTTCCCCAGCCACTGCTGTTGCAGTAAACCAGATGGTTTGCAGCTCTTCCTGGAGTCATCCAGAATTTAATGATGTTTTTTACAGCTTAGGTCTCCCCACAGAATGGGTCATCCTTCTGTTTCCATTTCTGTGTTTTCATGGAGGCAAGGAGAGGGGGCAGAGAGGGTTGTGCTGCTCTTACAGGAAGAAGTGAAATTACTGCATAACCCTGAAATAAAGAGTGGCCTTGAGAAGACCACGTGGGGTGATGAGTGCAGGGGAAAGGTGGAGGAAGCGGAGGAAATCCCAGCTACTTGTTCACATGAAGGGTTTTTATGAATCAGGACATCTGTAACTTGTGAAGGACATGGCTCAGGCAAATACCTCTGGAGCTGTGCAGTGTTAGCTGCCCTCGCATTGCTGAGCACAAGGGGAGGAGAGATGCCCAGCTGAGGGCAAAATGAAGGGGTTTTTTTGCACAGTGACCTCCTCTGCATCCCACAGACAGCAAACACATCCCACAGACAACAAACACATCCCACAGACAGCAAACACATCCCACAGACAGCAAACACATCCCACAGACAGCGAACACATCCCACAGACAGCAAACACATCCCACAGACAGCAAACACATCCCACAGACAGCAAACACCCCTCGTAGCCGTGGGTTGGTCCCTTCCCTCATATCCCCTTTCTGTTCGTGTTGGGTTACGAAGGGCCTCGGGGTTTCTGCTGCTGCATTTCTTTTTATAGGTGAAACATGAAACACAGGCAACATCCCATGGGCAGAGCCTGTTTGTAATTTCAGATTCTACATTCCTTTTCCTCCCCCATAAGCAAAGTCCTTGCAGACCCATTTCGTCATCTCGGCATCCCGGTTTTTAATAATAAACATGCCTGACCTCTTTCCTCTGTATTTTTTCCCTCACTTTAAGGACACAGACCTCGAGTCAAGGCAGGTGAAAAGCAATGCCCTGGTCTTCATTTCTGGTTTCAGATATTAACAGCCAGAGATGGATCGTTCATGCCGTGGCATTTTGCTGTGCTATCTCAATAACACATGAACATCTTGTGGTCAAGTCCAGCTCAAGATAAAAGATGTGTTTTGTCTTCCCTGCTTCCTTCTTACCCTCTCCAATGCCCATTTCTCAGAGTTGTTTGAAAACTGTTTTTCCTGTCAGGCTGCTACTATCCCATTTTTCCTGAAGGTCAGAGATAAAGATTTGTTCCTGCCTTTTGCTGTGCTCAGGAAACTCTTTTCTTACAGTAGTCATTTTTTAATGTCCAAGTATTTCTTCCAAAACAGTATTTCAATGGCCATTTACTGACTGGGTAGAAAACTGCTTAATGAAAAAAAATCATCTTTCTTTTTTGACCCTCAGAATAGATGATAAAGACAAACCTCAGAGCCAACCTCTCACTTTCCAGAAAAGCTGTTTTCATGCTGTCTTCTGTCGGGAGGCAGAATTAAGTAGATTTCAGTGGCTTAAGCTTTGGACTAAATAAAAAAAGTAGAAAATTCAGAGAAGATGAGAGAAATCTGGAAATGAGCTGGGTCATACAGTAGTTTTTTTGCCATCTTTATTGTATCTAATACATGGGGTTCATCTGAACTGAAGCTGTGTAAAGAACTGATTGTTTCCATTTTGCATTGCCAAAAAAAAATAACTAGATGGAAAATAGTTTAGATGAAACAAAATGTTGGTTATTCGACTCAAATTAAAATATTTTAGGTTAAAAAACAAATGAGTTGAATCAATTTAACTTTTTTTTTTTTTAAGAGCAACATTTTAATTTCGCTATATAAAAGATTCGTTTTGAAGATGGTTCAGTGAAATGTTCCGGGAACATTTACCAAAACATTCAAGCAAATTTAGCATGAATCCATGAAGTGTTTCCATCATTGAATCTGCATAGTTCTTAATTATTCTTCTTCCGAAAAAGTTGCCTTTGAAAAGTCTTTCCCAAATCCAGCTTTAACCGTCCACAATTTCATTATCCCCTGCATGTTACTATAGTAGTTACAATTATTTCAGCTCTCTGGTAGCAAGCGGGTGGTTTTTCTGGAGTGAAGGAGACTTCCTCTGTCATCTCTCTGTAGACTTTGGCTCTGTTGCAGGACTCCATATGTCTTCCATGTGGACCATGTTTAAATGTATAGCTCTGTGCTCTGCTATGGCTCGTTCCCTTGCTGGGAAGCCAAGTTCAGAGGCGTGTGCTGTGCATGGGACAGAGTTCCTCTAACAGCTATTTTTGTTGGGTCTTGTCATTGTACCGAGTTATTATAGTCGTTCCTCCTTTGACTTCCCAAGTAGAATTTTCCTTTCTCTGCCCCATCATTGACTCATCCTTTGTTTAAGTAAATCACTAAATAAATGAGTTTGGAAGGGGCATCAGGAGGTCATCTGGGCCAGCAAGCTGCTCACAGCAGGGCTAAGAGCCAATGCAAGGTAGTCCACTGCTCCTTGGAAAACCTTCAGGGATGCTTGTTTTCTACCCAGGGAGTCAGAATGTGTTATGATGGTCCAAAGAGGGGAAAGACAGCTTGGTTAGGAAATATTGTCAGGGATGGGCTCTCCATCCCAGTGAACTCCAGCCTACCCCTCCCAGGGAATCTCAGCCCAGATATTGGCAGCGTGATGGTACTAAAGCGTTACTAGAAGTTACTTTTGTTTTCTTATGGAAGAGGATTGATGGTTGATGCCAGCACTAGGGTATGCTCACAGAAACTCTGAGGATTGTTTTCTTTTCTATAGAGCCCTGTGAGAGAAAAGGTCCATTCATTGCAAACTAAAGTCTTCTGTTCAGCTGAATTTAACACTTCACCACCTTCACGGCCGCTGTCAGACAGAGGAATGTAGTCTCCCCTCTTTCAGCTTCTACAGATACACAATGCTCGGCAAATCATAGTTTTCTCTCTCCTGCAGTTTCTTTTATCACTTTAGAGTCAGGTTGGGAAAGGCACGCTTCTTTGTTCAGGGTTGTTGTTACCCTCAGCATGATCTGCAGCTTGCCAGCAGTTCAGTTCTGAGTGGAGCTGGTGCTGAGACTTTCACTGTACGACAGCATCGACCTGGGCGTTTTGGCTGTTGCTGTTGCCTATTTTAACTCTCTGGTGATGTGTACCCAGGGTGATCAGGGAAGAGCAGGTGTTCCGGGAGATATCGGCTTCCAAGGAGACAAGGTAATTGTTTTTCTTTCCCCCACCATTCTTTTCCCCTTACATAACAGTATGTGTGGCCACCAGCTTTCTCAGCTCATCTTAATCCACAAGGAGCTGGAATTAGCTGCATCCTGCTGTCAGGTTCCCCTGCTCGGATAGTTCCCATTTGGGGTGTGCTGTGCCTTTCTTAAAATTCACGTCAGTGCATGGATTTTGTTGTTACAGCAAAAGCAGTTCTGCTGGGGGGGTTTCTGTACAAAGGGCCATGTCTTCTCACAGAAATTGGAAGTGATGGGGCTGATGGGGATGGGTGTGAATGTGTGTGGTCCAGCGGCTGCAGGCTGGGAGTTTTTGTCTGCTCAGTGCAGCAACCTAAACCCTGACCCAGGGAAGCACTTAATGCCCTGTGTAACTTCTGAGCAAATGACTTCTCCCCTGTGACTATGATATGATACTGACTGTGGCTGACAAATGTACAAAACACTGCACTGGAGGCTGCATGGCTCTGAGCCACAACCAACTGCAGCAGTTTGTGTGTTCTTTGGGGCTAAATTCAACCCCATCTTCAGCAGAAACATCTCACTGACATCAGTGCAGCTGTACCAGCTCCATGCAGGGCTCAGTTCAGCCCTAAAGAGATGCTCCTCTCTCTTCAGCAGAGGAGCTGGAGCCCGGGGAATTGGTATTTTTTTGGTGCTTCATTGTGTTCTGAAAAAAAATGTGTCTCTCTCAGGGCAGCCAGGGTTTGCCTGGGGTCCCTGGGGCACGAGGGAAAGCAGGCCCCCTGGTAAGTAACCAAACATCTTCTGCTTCCTGCTCTCCCTTTCTGAAGGTTCCATGCCCAGCTGCAAAGACAGCTTGGCAGGGGTGTGCTGTTCTAAACAAGAAAGCCAATAGCCAGGAGCCAGCTCACTTTTCTCCATGTTTTTCTGATTTCTGCAGGGAAAAGTCGGTGACAAAGGTCCAGTCGGGTTTCCAGGACCACCTGGCCCTGAGGTATGTCCCACCACCTCCTTCTTACATCCCTCCTTTCTTTGGTAACTTCTGCCACATCCAGTCTTCAGCAAACCCAGACGTTTCCTCCATTGCATCTCTTTCCACTCACCCCTCTCTATCCAGCCCAGGGCTTCACTTCTCTGCTAGAGTATGATGGTACACAAGTGGTGATGAGGTAGGAAGGATCAAGATGGGTCCATGACCTATCCTACATCTCATGGTTTCCTGTTTTTTCCTTCCACTTTTTGTCATAGGTATCATGGAGGGATTTTTTTTTCCATTTTTCCCCCACAAAATACCATTTGAAGCAGAAAAAAAATTATAGTCCTTATCAAAAAAATAGAGTGATACCTTAAACTCAGGATGAGCTTCCCCCAGCACACTGTCATTTTTTTCCTTCCTAAGGAACCAGGCAATGTCTGTAAGATGCTGCTGGAGAGCCACTTCCAGCACAACTGGTGGCCTGCTTTCCCCTCATCAGTGTTCTGGTATTTTGCAGGGTCTGGAAGGGCTGAGTGCTGCCACTTAGCAATCGTTCTCCTTTGTTGCCATTGGAAATAACCACAGATTCCTTTGTTTCCTCTGTGAAGGGCTGGTGGGTGGAAAGGAGCAGCAGCTAATGAGCGTGTCAACACCTTTCCTAATTCCTCTCCTGCTCCCCTTTGTCGCCGAGGCTGCAGCTCCTCCTCAGAGCACTGAGATTATGCCCTGACTCATAAAGATTAATTAAAACCCAAATCGCCCTTTTTAGCTGTGTGATGACAGGGAGGCCCTCGCTGCAATAAATCTTGTAAGAAGATGGACCTAAAGGGAGCTGCTGGGAAAGGCAGCTCTTCCATCAAACCCATAGCACTGCTCCATGTCCCATTCTCCCCCATGGCCCACACATGGACACTGCCAGCATGGAACATGTCTTGTCCCTTAGCTTTGAATTAAAACTCTCACAGAGCGTGACACTTATTCCACCTGTGCATCCTGACTGTTCCTCATTTTCTTCAGGGCTTTCCAGGTGACATTGGCCCGCCAGGAGAAAACGGTCCTGAAGGTCTGAAGGTGAGTGGAGCAGAGACTTCAGCTCTGTGTGGGGTTGGAAGCAGCCAGGGAAAACAAAGTAGTGGGAAGGGGGAAAGAGAGAAAACCCTGGAGGTTCCTAAAGATTGTCCTGGCCAGCATTTCAGCTTGGTCTGTTTGGTTTGAGGTCCCTCCAAGTGCAGTGTTTTCTTTTTTTCAAATCTTTTTTTTCTGTAACAAAATTGACATTGGAAGATGTCCCGTGGCTGTGAAAGAGACTTTCTCATTTTAATTGCCCTTCTGAGCTTATGTTTCTATTTTCTGAGTATCTTTTCCTTTGGCTCTTTCTCAGGGAAAGCCAGGAGCACGAGGTTTACCTGGGCCAAGAGGACTGCCTGGACAAGAGGTGAGTGTCCTCAGCCCAAAGGCAGATTGGATTTAAAGAACAAGGTTGAATTTTGTAGATTAATGCATGCTGAAATGTGTCTGCAGCTTGAAATCCTCTGGTCCCTCTGAAACTGGAAGCAAGTGCTTGTATTGAGTGATGAGAGACTCGCAGAAGAGAAGTTTCCCCTAAGCTGTGTGATCCCCAGGTCCTGTCATCTTTGCTTCCAGTCGCTGCTGGCGTCTGCTGATCCTAAACCCTGCACTGCCCTTGCTTTTAAAACCTGTTCCCCCACCCCCAGATGGGTATTAGTGCCCTTTTCCCTGCACATCCCCTTGCACAGACATGCCCTGACCTGGCTTTTGCTTTCTGCTCCTTTTAAGTGCATTTTCTTTCAACTATAAGACCTGCAGCCTCCACTTTTTCACACACAGCAACATCCCTCTGTAACAAGAGTTCAAAAATGGGAATTGCTGCTCTGCAGAGATTCATCAGAGCTTGCAGCTTTCACTCATCACTTCACGTCAGAATTTGAAGCTTCATTCCACTTGCAGTCATTAAGAAGGGACAATTGACCTTGATTTAATTGTCCTGGAGCTGCAAATATATTTTAGCAGCAGCAGAGAAGGTCCAAGTGCTCTGTTTATCCTGTTGTAACTCCAGTGATTTCGGTGTAGTTTCCCCTCACTTAGGCCAGTGTAAGCTGTTTGTCAGGAGTCATGAGACGTTGTGTAAATAATACCGAGCACACGCATGGGCAGGAGCTCGTTTTAATAGCACTAATAATTCTTAACTTTTTCTGGGAACTCTTCTGCTTGTTCTCTAAATGGGATTAATGCAAATGAGCTCATTTATTTGCACTGAAATAGGGAAAAAAATTATTCTAGGCAATTTACAAAGGGAACCGAAGCCCTGCATTCCAGGTTCAGGCAGGCATGACCAAGCTGCCTTCAATTTACTCTAGTTAGTGAGTGTTAAAGTAAGACCAAAGACATGGACATGGAGTTCGACACGAGCTGTGCCGAAGGACTGTGAGTGTGCACCAGAGCACAGCACTGTGCCCTTACTGCTGAGGTCACCCAGGTACTAGGTCAGGGCTCTGGATGACATCAGGTTGGAAATGTGGCATATTGTGGGTGGCTTGTCTAGGTTCCTGACTCCCAGTCCCATCCTCATCCCACCAATGCCCCTTTATTACCGTGGCTGGCCACTGAAATGAGAGCAGCCAGACCGTGGCTGCCAGGGGCACTTTTAATTTCTCTCTTGGCACTTGGTTTTAGACACTTGAGATAATTTTTGTGAAGCTTAATTGAAGGTCTCTTAGAAACTGTAGGTCTGATCCTATCACATTAGAAATTGGCATAGAGCCAAAGGAGAGGACCGAGTCCAATTGCTGTGTGAGATTTTGTGATAGCTCCATCCTGCAGCATGTGGAGTCCCATTTGAAAGCAAAAGGGAAACCTTCATACAGTTGCCAAATGGTTCTGTGGGAAATTTTGCAACACCCTTTTTTTTTTTAGGGAGGGGGAGGATGGGGGGAAGAAAGAAAAAGAGTAGAGAGCTCTACAGCATTCGTATCCCTGCCAAATCAAATGAAGCAGAGTCATGTCAGAATGTCCAGGGCACCCTACAGGCCAAATCCAGCCTGATGTTGCCTTGGTCAAATTTTGGATGGCCTTCACTGGCAGGACTTGACTTTAAACCTTTTTTTTTCTTGAGATGGGGAAGGGAGATGAGAAACCTCAGAGATGCTGAACTGCCTGCTCTGAGCTACAGAAGGACTCAGTTGTTAAAGTGTGACAGCTGAGCACACAGCTTGTGTTTAGCTGCTGCTCATACTGCAAACATTTCATTTTTGCTGCCTGTTGAGTCAAAATTACTACTTTGTCTTTTATTTTAATTTCTTTCCACCTCAGGGAGATGAAGGACCCTTAGGACCACCAGGAGTCCCTGGCCCAGAGGTAGGTTTCAGTCATTTACTCAGTTATTACCAGCTCTGATAACCCTGCACTGGAATTGTAGTTAAATTAACATAAGGCTTCAAAGCTCCTGGTTTGGGAAGTAAACTGCCCTGCTATGAAATATTGTCGTGTCAAGGGCTCTGTCCAAGTGCTTGATCCAGGATGGCTGAAAGTCCAGGAAATATCTTGCACAGAGTGTTGAGTTTATAACTTGCTTAAAGTCTCAGACCTTGAAAAACTTTCTAACGTTTAAATAGTTCGTCCTGAAGACGAAGCACATGGACCGGAAACCATCTCTGATGTTTCTTCCTTGATTTATAGTGTTTTTCAATAGGTAGAAGGAAAAGCTGGACAGTCAGAGAGAGTCCTTTTGACCTCTGTTATGTATCACACAAACACAGTTAGAAGAAGCAAAAAGAATATTATCGTATCTGTGAGCTTGCCAGCTCAGGATTTTGTAATGGGTCTGTACATAACTGTCATCACAGGAGAGTAAAATATCCTGAAAATTGGTAATAGGTGGATCAGAAAATAAATGTTTAATCTTTATTTTTTTATCTTGCAATTATACAAGCTGCACCATATAGGTTCACAGACACTGCTATGACCAAGGCTGCTGGAAGCTTTTAATGTTTATGGTTTTTCTATGTATTTCAGGGTCGATCTGGCAGGAAGGGATTTCCTGGAACACCTGGTCCCAGTGGTTCAAAGGTGAGGAAAGGGTTCATTTATGATCAGGAAAAACAGTGGGTGGAAAGGAGGAAAGCAAGAGGGAAATATCTTTTCTCACCTTTACCATTCTTCGAGTGTTCATTCTAGAGAGGACAAGGGAACTGAGGGTTTCTCTTTTTCTCAGAATTCTGGGGTCTCAGTTTCTGCTTGTTTCTTCAGCAAAAAGAATGATGGAGCATTTTTTAAGCCATGTCCTTTATTATAAACAAGTGTGTTCTTCCTCTTCCTTTGATATTAACCAACTCCCCCCTCCATCATCTCCTCTCATTTTCCATTGCTCCTCCACGTTTTTGTTCTAAAACAATGCACATCATTCCTATCTTTGCTGCCTAATTAGCAGCAGGAGCCATCCCAGGGCAGTGCGCTCCACAAACCCACACTCAAAAGGAAAGAGAAAACCCAACAAAAACAACCTCTTCAAACAGTAAATAGCAAAAATGTGGTCTGGCAGCACATCTGGAGTATCTGCCTACTGAGAAAATACAGCTGCTGTTCCGGAGACAATGCTGGTCCGTGGTGAGCCTGGCCTCTGGATGGCCCATCCAGGGGCACTCCAACCACCTCTGCATGCTGCCACGGCTGCCCTTGTCCCTGGTGGGTTGGAAATTCACCTCCTTCTGCTTTTTTCGTGTTATTCTCGTGCTCTGAACTCCTTCATCCTGCAGTGTGATTTAAGTCACGTGAGTTCTTGCTCTGGTTTCATTTGGATGCTCCATGTGACAGTAGTTGTCCCTGTTTGAGATTTTCCAAGAGCAGAATCAGGGTTCAGCATTGCCTGGGAAATTTTATGTCTTTTATTATTGTGACTCTTCCACTAGCAGGTGAATTTTCTTGGATGCCTTCTCCTCTGTTGTTCAGGAACACCACCTGCCTATGGGATCTGTACCCTTGCTTTCCTTAGATCCTCAAATCCTCTGGTTAATCAGAGGCCATTCCTACTCTTTTCCTTCTACTGGTGTGTTTCTGTCTTCATCTGTGTTTTACTCAGTCATTCAGATTGAGATATTATGGGTCAGAGACACCCTAACTTCAGGAACATCCCTGATGGGAACTCATGCCTTATTAAACATTGGGATAAAGCAACCAGGACTAGGCTATGCCACAGGACAGTAGACAGCTTATGTTTCAATGTGGTTCTCTGAAGGTTATTTTACTACAGCAGGACCAGCTGCTTTGGGGGCATTTCCCTGCAGAACAAGTGTTTGCTCCATGTTTGTGTCAGCTGTGATTCTTGCTTTGAATTATCTTTCAAGTCACAGTTGGTTTTGCAAGATATTTCTCACAGTTTCACAATTCACAGACAGCAGCCCAAATCATGAGTGTACAAAGAATCATGTTATACTGAGGGTGTGACTGGCAGCACCAGGTAACCCATGTGCCCTGTCTCCTTGTCCTGCAGGGTGAGCCAGGAAACCGTGGCCGACCGGGGAAAGTTGGTGAGCAGGTAAACTCCTTATTTTTTTTGTCTGCTTGGCAAACTCTACAGTGTCTCCTGAATGTCCAGAGCAGAGGCAGAGTACAGTGAGCAGGGGCTTCTGGCCACCTCAAAGCTGTCCATAGCCCTTGTGCTCCAGCTTGGTGCTCTGAGGGGAAGAGAGGCACTGAGCTGCATTTCATTGTACTTCCATGGAGAACGTTCAGCTGGGGCAGCCCAGGACATGCATCATCCCAAAGGCTTCAGGGGAACCACAGGCATCAAGGAAAAAGAAACAATTTTTCCCATGTCTCTGTGATTGAAACCAACCAACTTGTCCACCAACAACCCTGAAATTGCAGCCACGGAGCCTCCAACGTGTTCTGTGCGTTCCCACATGACCACACCAAGCTGGCTGTGGCAGCTGGCCCTGGCAAAGCGGGTGTTGCATCTCACCACAGATGTCCTTCCCAACACTTTCCCTGCTGGATGGTCAGCCAGTTGGGTTTGGTTTAGTTTGTCAGCCTCTCTGCTGTCCTTTCTCCTGTATGTAACAGCTGGGAATCGCTTCTTTCATGGTTTTCTGACCAAGCAAGTTTAAGAAGCCAAGGTAGACCTTTTTCAGTACCAGCAACCTGATGAGTCTCAGTATATATCAAGGGTGATTATTTCTATTTGGAAATCAGAGACATTTCTGTATCATTGTTGTTAATTTGCTCATGAAGAGCAACTACTGAAGGAGCAAAGTTGTTCCCCACATCTGAGTTCTAGCTGCAGTTGTATCAGATTGTGCATTATCTCAGGCAACACCTTCCAGTCCTCTGTTCCTCAGTTTCCCCCTTTGTGGAAGGTGTGAGACAGCCCTGAACAGTGCTTAGCCCAGTGCCTCCTGTTCTCAGGCACCTGTGGATGCTGTTAAAAATGAATATTTAGAAGTGCTTTGAGATCCTTAACAAGATGTTGTCCTTGAAGGACAAAGCATCATTAGGATTATTATTCTTTAACATCCCTCAGGACTGACCTTGGATGAGAACTGTAGGCACTGTTCATTGAAAAGAAAACACAGCTGGCCTCTGCTGACACTGAAACCAGCACAGTGGTAGGAAAGCTGCCTGTGTTATTCTTAGTCAATTAGTCTCTGTCTAGAAATATCACCCAGAAAGAGTTTCCATTTCCGAACCAGTCAAGTCATTAGAACAGAAACGTCTCACCAGATTAATGAGAAATAACATCCTTTCCCATCACACCTCTGCTGAATGATGCTGGAGTGTCGGGGTTTCATTCTTCCTTCCACTTAAACTTCAGCAGTTGGTGTTGGGACTGGGTTTGTTTTTTCCAGAGCTCTGAGAGGTTGAGCTACCCGGGTCACTTGGCATTAAAAGACACCATCACCTCACCTTGTTTTCTCTCATGGAGACCTTGTGTTTTCTGTTCCACAATAGGAGTGGTCGCTCTTTTCAGTCTTCCTGCTCTGCCCACCATATGGGTTCTCTCAGAGTGGAAACCCTTGGCTTAACAACATGAGATCAGCCATCCATCTCCTTGGAGCTTTCTTCCCTTTCTCAAGGACATATGTCTAGGAAGACATGGGAGTTTCCATAAGGTTTTCAGTGATCCTTGAGCTTTCATTGAAAAATGAGGTTTTAAGCCACAGGGCAGTGCCTGATGCGCTGTTTTTCCATTGCAAGGACGCAGACTCGGGAAGTTCATTCATGAGATGCTTGTTGTCTTCATGTGCTGGAAGGGTTCCAGCTGCCGGGTGCCCCAGTACCCTGGAAATGTGTGGGTTAACCCTTCCTTGCCTGTAGGTGGAGTCAGAAGAATATGAAGAGGAATACAGGGCCTCTGGCCAAGGCCACCAGCCTTCCTGTCCCAGCAATGGGAATGCACAGCAGGAGGATGTCACGGAAGTGTCCATGCTGAAGGTCAGACAGCCCTGTGGGAGAAGCAACGTCCTGCAGCAGACAGGATGGCAAACTGGAGAAGGGGGCTACCCATGGACCCCCTGCTCAGCACTAGAGACTGGAAATAGCCATGAAGAGAATACCCATGAAGAGCTGAAAGAGGCTTCGTTTGACTAACGTCCTTAATGGGAATGAGGAGGTCCCGTCACAGCAGGAGCAGCTGTTTGAGTCCCTCCCCCTGCACAAGAGGTGACCACCCTGCTCACTCGCAGGGCAGTGTCAGGGCCAGCCACACACCCATCGCACTGTGCTGGGAAGGGCAGTCACCCCATGGCCCCTTGGGGGTCTCTCATCCTTTGAGGGGGAAGCATGGTGTCCCAATACCAATATTCTAAAATAATTTGTCAAAGGACACCAGCACCATCAGTTATCTCCTTAATGTGTTTTCCCTTCCGAAGGAGGAGGGGGAGATACCTATTAACTTGGCCAAGGTCAAGTGGATTACTGAGAACCGAGCAGGGAATTGCAATGGCCTTTCCCACATCTTAGAGCTGTGCCTTTCCCAACACGTTTACCTTCCCCTCTGGAGTGTCTCTGACCTCCTTCAGGGATTTATGGGCACTGTGGTGTTCACGGCCCCCTTGATGGGACACGGTGTTTTGACAGGGTGTCTCCACCTTCCCTTCCCTCGCATTGGGAGCCCAACGTGGCCCCAGGGCACAGCTGAACCCGGAGCACAGGGGGTTAAACCACATGGCTGTTCTTTGCGGGTCAGAGCGTCCTCCCTTAAACTGTGATATTTACTGTTTTACTTTCCCTTTCTTTCATCTGAATGGGAGGATTGTACATTTACTCCCTCCCGTCCTTTGTCCCTGGTTTGTTTTGTTTTGAGTTCTAGCGAACCAGTAAAACAGAAAGGCCGTGATCGGTTCCCGCTGGGAGCGACTGGCGGTCCCGTCCCTGGGAGACCCTGCTCACGCTGGGCTCGCCGGTCGGTTGTTTCTCTCAAATGGGCTATGATTTATTCAAGGCTTCATTGCTGACTTGCTCTCTGTTGATGGAGCCAAGAAGGGGGGCTTAATTATGACAGGGCTGGACAATAAATGGGGAAAGCGAGACAGGAGTTAGGAATTACAACCCACCAGTCCCCCCCTTTCCTTCCCCTCAAGCCCCCAGCAACTTTTTAACAATCTCCATCCCTTTTCCGCCATGCCCTTGGCTGGGGAATACAGCAGACTGAATCACGAGCGACATGCTGAACTCCCCGTCTAATATAAATGTTTTACATTCTTTCCTGTATACTGTGGGCCTTTATCCGGGCAGCCACCGCTGCTGGGACTTCACGTGCATCATTACACACACTGCCTGGAGTCGTGTTCGATGCAGGCCCTCTTTTCAACCCTGGGAACCTGGGAAAAATATGTTGCGCCGGAGCCATTTCAGTGTAATGGCCACAATTCATGTCTGCTCTGATTAAACGTTTGCCGTCGGCGGCTTTTCTGGTTCTTAAAACCTAAATGTTTTTGTGTTAAAACCTAAATCTCCTTGCGTTCCCTTTAGTGTCTATATCTCATTTTGGCCGGCAAAGAACGTCATTACCCAATCTCCACCAGTTGTTTCATATACTCCCAATAATTTACTGAGATTTATTTGGCCTAGACATATCTATCTCGATTTGTGTCTGCTCGCAGACACAGCAAGGTTAGTTAGTTTAGTCCAGTGCAGACAGTGCTGGCTGCAAACACTGCAGAGCTACTGTGCTGGAAGCCTGGCCATGCTGCAGGGTCCCTGCTCTGCTGTGGGATGCTCCTCTTGCTGGGCACACAGGGAGCAGGGACATCTTCCCCCAAGCAGAAACATGATGCACCAGCACAGACAGAATTTTCCCTGGTTTTGGAGTGAAAACCAGAAATGTTGGCTGTGCTCTCCTTCCCCCCTGATGTTTATCCATGCAGCAGGTTCGTGTTTCTGCATAAGCTGCCATAACAAACAGCACATCTGTGACAGCAAGAGGTGTCTCAGGAGTTTGTTGGGGCTGGGGGGCTCTTGGCTTGCTGTAATCCCTGCAAACCCATCTGCAGAGCACCAGCAGACCGGCTTGGGAAGCACCACCAGTACATCTCGCTCCATGACCCAGATTCCTTAGAGACTTTTCAGAGTGGAAGCTGATGCTGCCATGGACACTGTGTCAGAAGATTGGCCTTCAAGCCTGAGCTTGGATATGGAGGGCCCCTCAGAAGGGCTTTTGAAACAATCTTGTTCTGAATGGTACCAACACTTGCTGCAGAGCAGGGATCTATCTTATTCTGCTGGGACTGACCTGAGTAACCAGAAATATCTTAAAGAGCATCTTCCCAGGAGAGACAATTCTGCAGTTTTCTGAGAAATTGGAAATGAATCAACAGATCTATTCTTTCTTGCTGTATTGTCTATTTTTGCCTAGCAATGCATTTCCTGAGGCATCTCATTTCTTTGCCTTAATGTTTGCCTTCTTCATGGCCTTGGGCTGCAGGAAAAATTTCAGTAACTGGATGCAGTTGATTATCTGCACTTGTGTCTCATCGAAAGGATCATTGATCCAGCAGCCTTCAGCGATGCCACCCGGTGGCAACCTCGCATAGGCAGATGCTGCAAATTTTCCTGCTCTTCCTTTGGTTCCTGTGTCTTGTCCATGCAGCCTGGCTGTGATGGCACCCTTGTGCTCTGGGACTGCCTCAGCTTCAGACACAAAGACTGATTCAAGTAAATACTGTTTCAGCGTTGATGTCAAAAGGGTTGGTGACAATCAATCCCTGGATATTTCCATTATGGTGCAGTGGCACACCAGTCCCCCAGACACCATCTCTGCATGGATTTCCAGCACAGGCATCTAACTCTAGGCTCTGATGTCCCCATTGAGCTCTTTGCCTTCTCTCATGAGTTTTTTCAAATACTTTTCACCTGGATGTTGCTCCCATGCCAGAGTGACAAGTGCAACTCAGAGCAGAGTGTGTGGCTGCTCCCTGCAAGAGGTGAAGCCAGCTGCGTGTCTGTGAGCAATGTCTTTGTTGAGCCCCTCAGTATGTCTCAGCAAGGAGCTCCTGTCTCCAGAGATGCTCACAGGATGGCTTTTAATTGGACCACATGGGGAGTGTTAATGCATGAAGCCTCTCAGTGTTCGGAGTCATCATCAGACACTGTTCTCTCCAAAAGTCATCCGAGAGTGACCCATATTGTGTCCTCTGTCTCAGAATGGGTCTGCTGAGCCTCACACATGTGGGAGAATGATGAGGCTGGTTATTTTGTGCTGTATCTCTGCATTGTCAATGTAACTTCATGGGAAGGGAGAGGCTTTTGGTGGCAGGAGTTGCACAGCCTGTGAGCAGCTGCTCTGGGCGCTGGGTGCTCCTCTGTACCTGGGCAGGATCAGCTCACATTGTCACTGCACGGGTGCAAACAGACCCACAGTGATGCACAGGCTGCAGAGAGCTCATCTACAAACTGCACATGTGTCAGGCCAGCTGGGAATGGGGAAAGCAATGCAGCAGGAGTACAGAGAGGAAACTTTTCCTTCTTTTCTCAATGTTTCCCTCAGAAAGGAGACAGCGGGGTGAAAAGCTCACCCTCTTCTGAGATCACATTCTGGAAGTTGCCTTGTTGGTGAAGCTTTTCTCCCGTTGTGTTTGTTCTTGCATAGAGGAACTTCACAATTTATCTTGAAGATTTCAAATTATTCTAAAAAAAAAAAAAAAAGAGGAAGAGCAGGACGGTACCACTGGAGAATCCATCTCCTGGCTCTGACTTGCTCAGCAACCACCCACCAGCACCAATCAAACTGTTGCCTAAAATCAAACAAGCTGGGGCACGGCTTCATTTGGCAGCACCCATGCCAAGTGTGGGCAGGTTATGAAGTGTTTCAACAAGAGATGAATCCCTTTAAGTTACAGACTCACTGGAGGAGCTAAATATAGATATCTGTCTCCCAGTGACCCTTGCTGGGGCTCAGGACAAGGCCATGAGAACCATGTAGTGAGAGCGAGCGCCTGCGGTGGCAGAGGGGACGGTCCCTTGCATCTCCAGAGCCAGAAACCTCTGGAGCTGGTAGGGAGGCTGCTGTATTTTAATTCTCAGGAATCCTAGCTTGAGATTGTATCTGTTTCCATCTTCCTAATTAAAAGCAGTTCTGTTTGCTTCTTCGTTATCCCGAACTGCTGGAGTTTTTTTCCAAGATAGTTTCTGAGCAGTGTGCTGGATCCACTGCCCTGCTGGCCCCTCTGGCTGAGGAGACCTTTATTTCCTACTGGCATCCCAGCAGCATGACACTATGCAGGGCAAAATTACTCTGCACAAAGGGCTCGGATTAACCCAGAGGAAGTCTTACCCAGTCCAGCAGCTAAAATGATGGCAAGTCTCCGTCTCCGCGCAACCCAGGAGCTCCCGCTATCGATGCTCTTGGAGAAGCTGCGCTGGTGTCTCAGGAAGAGCTCACAAAACAAAGCCACACTATGGACTTGCCCTTCCTATGGAACATGCTTAACTCATCCCCTATACTGTGTGTTGTGGTTCTTGCAGATCCTGGTGCTGCCGTTCCAGCTGGCGCCTAAAGCAGAACCAGCTGTGGAGTTAGACATTCCCATGGCCGGGAGCAACTCCATCCGCTCTGGTAGCCAGTAGGAATTACTGAGCATTATACGAGGGATGCTGGGCTATTGCAACCAGCAAGGTGGACCAAAGGAACTGTTTACTTTCTCAGCGAGTAAAACCAAAAATTAATTGTGCTTTTCTCTTTCTCCAGGGTCTAATGGGTTTCATTGGTCCGGTAGGGGAGCCTGGAATAGCGGGAGAAAAGGTAAGATTGCCTGCAATGAAATGGTTGTTGTAACTTATGCAGGATGAGGGAGACTGGGGCAGGAGAAACGTCGTGGAGATTTAAGTTTTTGTGTCAGTGCAACACCCAGCTGGGAATGCAGCACGTCCAGGGTGTCTGAGCTAGTCCTGGGCCAGGCCAAAATCATCCACGTCTCATTTAGGAATTAATATGCGCTGCCCTCCAAGGAGATACCGTCAAATATCCTCTGAAAATTTTACTTTCCTCATTCATAATGTGCCAGACAGCTTGTATTTAACGGTCAGTTCTGTGTTTTATGAGAATGAGGGACCCATCAGCCCCGTGTTCCTGGTCAAGGGAGGAGTCCCCGGGGTTGAGGTTACAGATCTGTGCAGAGATGTGCTCACAAGCCCACACTGAGTTGCCAGTGGGGTCGAACAAGACCAGGGCTGAGGCTGCATTGAACAAGAGGTCTCAGCAATCTCCCAGGTGCAGAGAAAAGTGCAAGAGTGCAGCCATCCATCTGAGCAAAGGCTGGTTCAAATATTTCCCTTTTTATTGGATGAGGACCATCCGTCCAGCTGGCCCTGGTTGCATTGGGCACACTAAGGGCTGGTGCCCTCTTGTGTACAGTACAGATACATGTTTCTTCTGGGTGGAAAAGTGGCTTTATTTTCCATAAAACTGTGAATGGACATTAATTTGTTTTCCATTAGAGTGTAAAATTTTATTCAGAAGTATCTTCCAAAGACAAATAATTTATGTCACTCATCGTATCTCACTTGTAGGCTGCTGGTTTTCATTGGTGGTTTAATTATTCACAGTCCAGCTGTAAAGATAGTAAAGAGCATAAAATGATGCATTCCACACATCAGTGCTTTCTTTCACTTTTATTACTTCAAGCCCTGTCCTCTGGGTAATGATGTAAAGACTCTGTGACAGTTATACTGTGTTTGCTGCAGATGCATTTTATTGTCTGTCTGCAGCAGCCTTTGGAAAGGCCATTCCACACTGTGGACTCTGGTGGGGCAGGAGCAGAAGTTGCCTCAGCCCAAGCTGTCAAGGCACAGAAGAAATTACATTACATGGGCTGCATTGTAGAGAAGGAAAATAGAGGAATAAAGAGCCTGTGATGTGTCCAGGGTGGTTACAGAGAAAATTGGTGCCTGATTGAGCTGTCTCAATGGCAGCTGCAGCCCTTAATTGAATGAGGAATAAGGGGTTTGCCATGCAGGAGATATGGGAAGATCTTTTTTCCTACTCCATTAAATTCACATCTGTCCCTGTGACTTCCATGCCAAAGCCTTGACCACGTGAGCCATTCTCATCTTCCAGATCAACTCTGTAACACGATGATGTGACATTGGTGTCAAGGCAAACTCAGGCTGTCCTTTGAAAATCTGCCCTCGGAGATGCTCAGCACAGCTGTGATTTCTATCAGACTTCTCACCAGGACAAACTTAGGGATGACAGAAATAACTATCATCAAATCAAAACCTCAACCAGGCCTCCAGTTGGCATAGTATCCTACAGCTTACTATGCTCTTGTGAGCTAAATGAAGTGGGAAATATGCTTTCATTAAACATAGCTGAGTCAGCAATCTCCATCCTGAGAGCTGCAAAACTTAAGACTGAAGCCAGTAGAATCCAAAGATTATCAAAGAGAACAATACAGTTAATACATCCTTAATAAAATCCATCCATCCAGGGGGAAAAGAATCTGTACGTTGGTTTACAGAGGCCAACTGGTGACAACACAAACTCAGGGGTTTGTTTTTAATAAGCTCCTCCGAGCCCAGAAAATATTTCCCCTTACACTTTAGCTGTTGGAAGGTAGGTCAGATTTTGGGCGTAACCTACTTGGCAGCATTTGCTAAATCCTCCTTCCTCGTCCCCCTCGAGCACGTGAACATAACACACCTAATTCCCAGTGCATCACTGGGTCTGGAAGGAGGGCACAGGCAGCTGTGGTGGGAATTGCCACCATCTCCCTAAGGAGTTTTCAGTGTCCCATTCCTAGAGCCATGCCTTCATGCCACCCTCTTGTCAGTGGGTCACAGTGGTGCTTGTGGGGACTTATATCTTGTCTCCTTCCCTTGGGTCCAGGATGCACTTAGACCATGAGATGGTCTGCATGGGGGGATAAGTAAGACTTCTGGAATTAATAAGTGATTTTTTGGTACTTTAATTTTTTTTAATGCCAAATGGTGGCTTGTTTCAGAAGGAATGGTATCTTCAGGGTGGGTTGTGGAGTCATCTGGCTCTGAGCCCCTCATAAACACAGGCCTACAGGTCATTGTTGACCTCCAGGTCTCAGTATGAGCCATAGGACAGGGAGTTCCCCCACAACACCTACAGTCTCCTCTGAAAGCACCAGGCTCTGGTTTTTGACAGCTTGACCCCCTGCTCTCAGCAAGGCCCCATGACAATAGTTTTCAAATCCATGGCTCTGAAAATGCCAGCACATGGAGGGATTATGATACTGCAGAACAGGGATGACGTGCCTGGGGTGGGAAGGGCTGAAGATCTCCTGGGGTTCAATTCTAGCACTGTTTGGAATTGAAGGTGGTCTTCAGTGCGTGGCTTGTTTCCTTCAAACCTCTTGATGGCAAGAGTAAAATCCCTTCACTTTAGATATGGAGGATTAGTTAATTCTTCCTGTAGTCCTTTAACTACTCTGATGAGATGGATGGAAAGAGGGTGATGATCATTCTGTGCTGGAAGCCTTTCTGGTAGAAAGCTAGTGGCAGAGACATGAATCTGTGGATCTTTAAATTGTTTCATTGCTCTAGATCACCCTTTCCCATGCACCTGTCTCTCTCCTAGGGTGACCGTGGCTCAGTGGGACCTCCAGGCCCTCCAGGAGTCAAGGGGTCGATGGTAAGGAGTAAGTCTGCATTCTCTCGCTCTTGCTGCTGCCTCTCTGTCTCTGTCCTGGCCAAGGGTGCAGCTTCTCCTGGTCCTTTAGTTACATGACAACAGCTGCAAGCTCTTCCTCTCTCTGTGGGAATGGGAATGGCCATCTGACTGACTGGATATTGAGGTGTAACCTCTCCCCAGCAGTTGTGTCCTGCAGTCTCCCCTTCAGAGAAGCACTGGGTTTCGAGGCGTGTTCTGCAGCTCCATCAGCTGAGGAGCTGCTGTGTCAAGTGAAGACAACCAGGAACTCAAGGATTGCCTGTTCCCAAGCATCCTGGCTCCTGAACAGACAGAATCTGGGAACAGGGCTCTGTGTGCACATCCCCAGTTGCCTGAGCAGCTGGAGGTGCAGGGTGCTTGGGCAGCACTCTCAGTGTCCTGCTGTGCTCTGCCATTCAGGGAACCCCATTTATGAGTTTAACAGAGGGAACATCAGCAGGACCTTGTCTTGCTCTGACACTTATTGTACAAGACCCAAAGGCAGATTTTCCTATTAGTTCAGCCCATTCTCTTCTGGGCTGTTCGGAAAATCTCGCTTCTGATATCAGTGGCCAGGTTGGAGCTGGGCTATCGACAGCCTGGCCATCTCTATCGGCCTCTGAAACATTTTACCCTGATTAATATCAGACCTGCATGACCTTGCAACCAGCCAACAATGCCTTTTTTCCTGTTTTCCTATTTGGAGGATGCAGGGCTGAGCAGATTCTGGGCATTCACACTAGGCATGTTTTTCTTCCTTCCCTTTTAGGGGCACCCTGGGACGCCAGGAGGAGTGGGTTTTCCTGGGATCCCTGGACCAACGGTAAGTAAAGGCTATCATCACTTGTAATACCATATCCTAGACACTTGCAGGCTAAGTCAAGCAACTGTATCCCAGTTTACTTGAGCTTGATGTGAACAACAGATATAGGGAAAGGGGTGTGATATAGGGCATGGGTGTGAGCAACATGGAAGGAGATGCTAAAAAAAAAAAAGCAGTGCTTAATTCAAACTTTTATAGCCCATTTCCCGAATCGGGGATGCAAAAATCACAATCCAGCCTCAGTCTTTTAGAAGGACACAGGCTCACTAGCTCTGGGTATTCCGGGCTGGGAATTGTTGGCAGTGTGGTGATCACATCATGCAGTGACCCCGTCGTGCGCGGTCAGAGCCCTCACTGGCGTGAGAGGAGCAGCAGAGCAGCTGCCCCAGATGGACCCTCCATCTGGATGGGCTCATCTGGCACATGTGCAGCTGTGGCTGGAGCGTGCAATTGCTGTGGAGGCAGATTTGAGCCCAGCTCCAGTTTCCCACAGCCGTTGTTTAGACGGAGCTCGGGCTCTCCCAGCAGCACAAGTGCCGCTGTGTGCTGTTCGCTGGAGCCAACAGAAAGGCAGCTCTGGGCGGGTGCAGGGAATGGATTTTGCTCAGTGTGTGAATTCCCACAGTGCTGTTAATTAGGAGGAAGATCACAGTAGTAAAATGCCTGGGCAGTGCCAAAGGCTTGACCTCCAGATCCAGGGTCAGCTGTGCCCTATGCGGGGAGCTCGGGGATGCTCCGGGTGCACCGGCTGCAGGCAGCTGCTGCCTCGGCACGGATTGCACAGTTGGAAGTCAGTGGAGGTGAGGGAAAGAGAAGGTCTGAGGTCAAACAGCACCTCGAGGTGCCCCATCTCTGCCTTAAAAGCAGATATATGGCACCCACCAGGCCCTTACAATAAAAGTGGGATGATGCTGCCAGCAGCTGCCAGCACTGAGCTGCTCTGTGGCCCCTCGTGGCAGCACTTGCTGTTGACAGAAGCCTAGGAGGCAGCTGGATATCTCTAAATATTCCATTTTTAGCAATTTTCCCCATCAGATTAGCTGCTGCATGTCTTGGGGATAGCTGGAGCATTAGGCAGGCTCCCACCAGCTCTGTGCCTGTGATCGCCCTTGGCCCAGGCAGGTTCTGTGCTGGCCCTGTGGCAGAAAGCTCCTGAACACCGTCCAGTGCACCACTAACTGCACCTTTAGTTGAGGCTGAGTTTTGTCTGACTTCACTGGGGCATAACAACACTATGAGTTGAGGCATCAGCTCTGAGTAGAGATGTCAAAACCTCTCGGCAGAGCTCTGGGAGCTGAGACCGTCCCCGGGTCCTTCCACTTCCTTCAGTTCCCTCTTCTCCTGCAGGCAAATAACAAGTTCATCCAAGCAAAATATTTCCTCCAAGACTGCATTTTAAAAAGTCATAATTCAATAAGTCAAACTTCCCCACAAAGCCAGTAAATCAAATAATCCCCTAATATCAAATCCCTGCTCATTAATTCCAGCTGTTTCTCCACCAAACATTCCTTATTTTCTTTTCAAGCCAGACCTGAGGCATGCTGTTGTTGTTTGTCCTAAACTGTTAAAACCTTTGAGATTAAGCTCTCCAGTGAGCCTTATAGCAGTCTGATGGCTGACTAATTCAATGGAGGGTGATTGGGAATGGGAAGCAAAAGTATAGTCAATGGTAGGAAACTTTGCCCTTAGCTTCAGCTCACTGGGACCTATGAATTCCTTCTCCCTCTCCTTGCTCACCATCATGGTGTTAATATACATTTTTTAAAATAGTATATATATATAGGCATATTAAAGGTCACTTATCTTCTCCCAAACAGTTCCTTGAAATTCCCAGCATGGTATCTAGTTGTTCCCTCAACATTTTACCATCACGACAAGTGTTTCTGTACTTGTATTTTCATAAGCTGTTTCAGTTAGGCTGAGACTTCCAGGAGGATATTCCAAATGCCAACAAAGAATTTCATTTCAGTGTGTGTTTATCATAAAAGTCTCTATAAAACAGGGATCTGACACATGTACTGCCTGTCTGTGCCAGTCACTGCTGACCTCACTACCAAAACTGAGATTTACTGTGATCGCAAATACAGTTACAGTCAACTGACTTTTCCATCTTGAGTGGGAACAGCTAAGCATTTGTGTTCTCAACATCTCCATTCCAAAAGCAGAATCTTTATTAGTGGCAGTGGTATGAGCAGTAGGAAGATCACAGCCCAGTTTTGTTCTGATCCTTAGCGGAGTGTGCTGGGTTGACAGTTGGTAAAAGCTCTTTTTATGTAAATAGCCAAATTTGATGTGGAATGTTTGAGAGAGTAAGGATGGAATGTGTCATTTTGAGGTTTTCTTTTCTGACAGCAGGAAGGCACTAATTTTAAATATGCGGTTTCAGAGTTATAATACAGAAGTAAGTCCTGTTAATTGAACATATCCTTTATTTTTTTGACACTGACAAATATTTTAGCAGAAAAAAAAGCCTAGTTTTCTGCATTTTCTGTATGCACATTGATGAATCAAGTGTGTACAAATCCAGGTGAAAAGAAAACCTGAAATCTTTCTGTAAATGTAAGAAGAACAGGATCATCCACAGCACCAACAGTCCAAATGAAATTAGCATCTGTCTGCCAGTATCAATATTTATGCAGCACTAACAGGGCAACAATTACTTGAAGATAAAAATCGGTATTTGGCTGAAAAGATCAAACTTGGATACCCAAGATGAGGTGTCTGATTTTTTTATTTGGACAACTAAAAACCAGATCCTGGTTATTATTATTATTTTTGAACAGATGCTGAGCAACAGCTGCTTTTAATAGCTTTGGAGGGAATTCGGGATGTTTGACTTCACATCACACCACTGACAGAGATAACAGGCTGCAGGTCATTAAGCATACAAACCTCAGCCAGGATCCTTGGCCTAAATGTTCATAATCCAAAGACCATCAGTGATTTTTAAAAAAAGACCATTTACAGAGAAGTAAATATGGTAATGTGTCTGGCAAGAGTTTAATGAACCAACCTGCTGGTCAAGGGACTTCACTTGAGGCCCCTGCAGATCACGTAGGGACATGGGATCATACCAACAGCTCCTGTCTTCCTCCTCCTCCGTCTTCATTTTGTTTCCCTTTTCCCCTTCCAGGGTCCAGCAGGAGCCCGTGGTGCGCCAGGGATCAGAGGGATGAAAGGCCGCAGGGTAAGCGCTTTCCAGGAGCTTTTATCCCTCTCCTCTTTCAGCCATTGGAAAAGCAATCCAGTGGATTAGCCTGGGGGTGTGAAGATGAGCAGAAGCTGGGCAGTGCTGCCACAGCCATGTTTCTGCTGTGCATAAAACATGAGGGCTTTGAAGGAAGTCTTACCAGGGATGTGAATGCAGGTGATGTGTAAGGGCAGAGGGGTGTCCAGTGTGGAGGTTAGCATGGAAGTGATCCAGTTTGTCTTTTCCAACCATTTGCAGTGTCAAAACCACTGTTTACAGATGCTTCTTGTGAGAATGGTGTAGATTTAATCATCTGGAGATGTATCTGAGTCAGGAAAAGGGTACAGGTAGAAGACCAGAAAAGGTGCCTCTGTTGCCAAGGGAGAGAGAGCAGCTGAGATGTGAAGTGCTGTGATTACCCAAAGGCAGATAAAGGGGGAAATGGTATGTCATGACATAGAATTAAGAGACGAGGTCAGCAGAAATGGTGCTGACAAGGAGCTGAGCAGCCTGTTCTTCCCATGTCTCCCTTTCCAGTCTCATAGGATCAATAACTCCCAGCAGGGCTCTGCAGGGCTGTGAGGAAGGTGTGCTTTGCACTGTCAGCAGATCAAATTATAAGCACATCCTGTGTCTTTCTATGGGTTTTTCCAGCCCATAACACAAGGCCCTGGTTTTGTCTGGACATAGCTCAACAGTCCCACACTGGAAGCATGTGTGACTCCTGCCTGGAAAGGGCAGCCCCAGTCTAGTGCTGGGTGATGGTACCAACTGGCATCACTGCTGGTGCTACAAGTCCGTGTTACACCGATAAATAGCTCCCAGGCACTCTGAGTCAGCTCTTGTGTGGTGCTTCCTGCTCTGTTTGGGTGACAGCCGACAGCAGAATGACCTCTAGACCTGCCAAAGCTGCTTGTTTTCCTGCCTGTGACATCCAACCCACGTCCCGCTGAGCTCTTCAATCTTTCTTCTCCAACTGGATATTTATTGCAGGAGCATCCATCCCTGCTTTGGGTTGTTTTTCCCTGTCCAGCTGCTTTACAAAGTATTAATAGCGAGCGCACATGGGTTCTTGCTGAAGGCCCCAACAACAACATATTTTGCATTTCTCCCTCCAAGCATCTGTTTCATTTTCAAAGATCACGCTGGAGTAAACCATACATTTTACCTACCTCCAATCTCTGCTTCTACTGCAAGTCCTGCTTAGGGAATTTGGGACAGCCAAGGATTGCATATGTTTCCCTATGCCAGAGTGAATACTCTCTTCAAATAGCTGTAACCAGCAATAGGAAATGGAATAACCAATTAGGAAGCTTTATGACCACAGAGTTATGTACCCTGGAACTGCTCTAAGCTTTAAAATCACATCTAGAAGGACACCAGTAACATCCAAGCTCAGCAGATGTATGTCAGGGTTCAGCTTTTAGCTTGTGACTGGGAAGAACAGCTTCCATGCCTCTGTTCTCCTTTGGGGGGGAGGCCCATGGAGTTCACTCCCCAGTTTCACTCTCAGAGAGGCCCCTGGGGAGTGAGGTTCCGGGACATCCATGATCCTGACGGATGAGAAACTGGAGGTGTTCCCTCACGGGAGGCTCTGAATGGGTGATGGAAAATACCTCAAGGTAAAACTACAGCACAGAGTTGAACAGAAAACACCTTCTGGATGAATCCAGGCTGCAAATGTGTGGGCTCTTGGAGAGGTGAGTCCTCCAAGGGGATCAGATGCTTCTGCCAGTGTCTTTAATGTTCGCAGTGACAGAGGAGTCCCAAGCACGGCCTCGTCCCCACTGCCAGCCAGGAATGCCAACCACATCCCTGGCACTGAGCTCCTTACGGCATCCCCGGGCAACTGCAGGGTTTGGCTCTTGGGCTGTGCAAGATTCCCTCACAGAAACCTTCTTTGGCTTCTTACATCTGCTTGGCCTCAAGTCCTCAGCCCTCCAGGAAAGCAAAGCCAACCAGGCTGTTTCCAGTTCCACTCCTACTGTCAGGAATGACAAAGGGAAATATCTGTTATCATCACACAAGGTAAAACCAAGAGCAAAGCTGAATTCAGCTCCTAGGAAAGGAGTCTGGCTGGCACAGCAGGTACCTGCCTTTGGGTGTAGCTGGATCCAGAGTGCCAAACCCTCTGGAGAAATCCTACAGGACTGCAACTGAACTACTGCCAGCACTGTCCATCCTCAGAATGATGTACCACGTAATAGGGACCTTCAGCTTCATGGCCTGGGTTTACATTTCCTCTCCAGATGTTCAGTCCAGCAGCCTCTGTGCCAGTCACTCCCTCTGGACATTCCCCCACCAGGGAACCCAGACTTCAAAGCACATCCCAGCCCTGCAAACCAGAAATGCAGTGGTGGAACCTGGTGTGTCTGAGCACTGCAGTGATATAACCAATACAGAATTTGTGGGGCAGACAGGCATCCTTTCTAAGATTCCCAGCAGAGAGGAGGAACTTGGCCTTTGCTCCGAAATCCTACAGATTTCAATGAATATGATGCAGAGAAGCTGCTATTTGTAAGGACCAGCAGATCTCCTGCCTGGAGAATTTCTGGTTTGTATCTCTCTTGCTCACGTTTTCCTTTTCTTCGTACTCTCCAAAGATATTCCAGGCACAGAATATTCTATGTTTTGCTTACTTGGTCCTGTGACTCCAGCTCCTGGTTTTCTCAGGATGGGGAAATGATCCCCCAATTGTAATTTCAGACATTAGCCTCTGTCTATCCCAGCTTACAAAAGGGATGTAATTCAATTCAGAGTGGAAACATGAATGTAGCCCCTGCCAGATGTTTATGAATTCCATGAGCTCTGTTTATGGATGCTTCATTAAAGCAAATTTGCTTTTGAAGGAAATGTAAATAGCAAATATGGTTTTGATTGTAAAGAACAATGGAGACTTTTAGGAGTCTGCATTTATGGTGTGATAGCTTTTGTACTGTCAAGATATGTATATTTTAAAAAGAAAATTCTTTAAAAATTGTAACCTCCTTTTTAGTCCTGACAGAGCTGTTATTCCTTCACAAGTCTTTGTTTAGTCCACCAAACTGATATTGAACAATCTTCCTCAAATGTGGTTTCCCCTCTCCTCTTCCCTAAGGACTAGAAACTTGGACATATGAGCCCAGGCTCATTTTCCTTCATCTGTACTCAGTGTAGCACTTGAACATGTGCTTAACATTCAGCTAGTGACAGCTATGTACATGCTTAAAACTAATTATTTAACCAAATCAAGGTTTAAATTTGGGGGCAGCTGATTCAGCAACTCCCTCACTCTATCTCACTTAAATCCTAAAGCACATTTCTTCTAATCAGCTCCTCGCAGCAGGAAAATGCGTGGTCTCCAGCAAGTTCTCCTGAGGAAAATGTCATCAAAAAGACTGGGAATCTCTGCAAAAGGTTAAATATCAGCCAGAACCAGGACTTGGCAACTCAGATCAAAAAGCTGCATCTGAAATCCTGCTTTAAGTGCCTTACCTTGCCCTATTCTCCTGGCCAAGGTGCCTGTCAGTATTTCTGGAATGTTATCCTCTCACTGCTGGGTTCTGGCTCAGGTGATACAAGAGAAGCTTTTCAAATCCCAAATCACATTTCTCTTTTCCACCATTCATCCAGCTCCTGCATTAACTGCTGCCCAGGTGAAGCCTGCAAAGCTGAGATAAGGGGAGAACACCTGCACTCAAAGCCCTTTGCTGCTCTGTGCCAGAGGGGAGGGACCACTGCCTCTGCCACGTGGACCCAGCGCTTCCCAGCATCACCAACTGCAGACATTTGTAAATGCCAGGGATTTGTAAAGTGGTGTTATCTAAGCAAACCTGAAAATAGTTGCTTTCTTCCGGGCCCAGCTGAGTTTTTTTCATGGAGAAGAAGCAGGGGTGTATTGTTTTGCTTCCAGGGATCTTTCTGGTTGACTGAGAAAGCACTGGAAGTGTTTGAGGACAGGTTCACTCCAGATCCATGGCCAGCGATGTCTCCCTTTGGCTTCACTCAGGGCACCTGCTGGCTCTTCATTTGGCCAGACTGTGATAGTGAAATATCAGTATTTGGATAAAGGGGTAAGGAAGAAGCTTTGGATTTCTGGAAAGGAGCTACTGACTGCTCCTTCGTGCTGCAGTTCACAGGCTCGTCACCGTCTCTCTTGGAGCTCTGAGTAGCTGTTTGAACAGGGGGAAATGCAGCACTGCTCTACAGAAGCACCTTGTTGAGTATTTAGTTCTGCAGGAACCTCATCTACTCTAGCAGCAGCATGTATCCCTGTTGCCTCACCTGGACTAGCAATAAACCTGAGTTGCAAAGCCTGGAGCTGAGTTCCACTGCATTTGTGAGCTGACACTGTTCACACCTGGCCAACATTTTAGCACCTTGTTTAGTCTGGGGTTGCCGGTAGAGCTGCACATCTCAGGGAAATTCTGTCCTGGCATGTGCTCCCACTGACCAAAGGGCACTGATGCTGCAAGGGCAGCCCAGGGGCTCTGTTTAGCCCTGCCTGCAAGGCCAGGCTGCCAGGTCTGTGGTGGGAAGGCACCGTGCTGTGCCTTGCAGTATTTGGCATTGGGATCTCCCTGGAGAGCTGCCAGGACTTCACTCACTCGTCTCTGACCAGCGTTGTCAGTAATAGAGAGTTTTGAAGATTTAACTAATTGACTAAATGTAGCCTTCCCTGTCAGGGTGGATTAGGGGAAGCCTTTGTCCCAGGTTTCAGCCCAGGAGGCTGGAGAAGATGAAGTTTGCCACGTGCACCTGCAAACAGAGGGTCACCTTCTCCTTCCTTAGGTCAAATGCTGATGAGTTGTGTTGCGATGGGATTAGGCAAGTTACTGCTGTGAAGTGAGATTGCCCTGGCAGATACTGCCGTGCTGGTGACAGGGCTCTGCTGGAAGAGATGAGGATACTGTAAACAGTCCCCCAGCCAGCCAGCCCTGCTGGGTTGGACCACTGAGAACCACAGCCCTCACTGCCCTCACTGCTGTACTGAGGGCACCCAACAGCCTCCACCCAGTTTAGGGAAGCCCAGCAGTGGCAAAGGGGCTGGACAGGACAAGATGGGCTACAGAAGATGGGTCTGGAAGGGCCAGACACATCCCAGTTTCCTTCCTGACAGGATCTGCCTTGGAAGAGAAACCTCTAACCTGGGTCATCACTGTCATTTCCACATCCCACTTGCTTCTGATCCCCACTCCCTCTTCCAGGCCTGAGCTATGGACTCCTCCCCATCTGCACATCCTTCTCCTGCTTCACACGCAGGTCACCACATCAGCTTGGATAGTAAAGGTGTAATTGCACAAAGTATTCTGAGTGGCTGCCCAAAGAGAAGGGGAACAGTTTGTTTTCCAGGGAGGATGAGCAGCTGGGTAGCAAGGTGCTTTCCTAGAGTGCCAGCGTCATAACCGTGCTGACACCTTCCTATCCTATGGGCAGGTCTGTGTATTTGCTGGGTGTCCCAGTCACCCCACACAGCCCCAAGATGCCTCCAAGCCCTGCTTTCCCACCACCCAAACTTACAGGGCTGTCTGACTCGAGCTGTCAGTAGCCCTGCTTTTAAATGACCTTCTGGTTTCTGTCATTGTGCTTTGAGGTTTATAGGGACATGGATTAATAAAACTTTTGGTCTTTACTGCTCTCTGATCTAGGAGCCAGCATGAACCACAGCATTTGGGGTGTTGGGCTGGTGAGAGCTGCCTGACGTCAGTGCAGCAAAGCCCCAACCTGTGAAACACCCCCTTTGGTTGTGGGGTTCCCATCTGGGGCACACTCCTTCTCTGTCCATCTGTCCTGGAGACCAGGCTGAGCATTCTTTAGAGCTGTGCCTTACTGGCAATGCAATACAGGCTCTTGGTTATTTAATCTCAGCTCTGCTCAGCGGCACAGAACTTTGCCAAGTGCAGTAGAAGTTTTTGCATTATTTTATATTGACAGTGTTTGTCTGCTGTAATAATTTGGCTGAGGTTCCTATACATTTCTGCTGTACAGTGCCTTTCTTTGTGAGTCTCTCTCTTTGCCTGTCATCCTGGAGTTGCTTTTCTAAGGCATTGGCTCCCTAGCCCTGTTATTACTTTTGGCACTGGGTTTGCATCCCGATTAAGCACATTGGCTCCTGTTTTCTCTCTTTCTGTGTTGGCCAGCTCTCAGAATTCCTCTTACCACTACATTCTAACACCACTCTGTGTTTTTATTTATTATTTGTATTGCAGTAGCGCCTGAGAGTCCCAACTGAGCTAATGACCTGATTGTGAACATGAAGCCCATTAATAGTCTCTTGATATGCCCTTTTTAACTGTTTTATTTTCTCTCACTGTGGCTCTTTATTCTCTGTCAGTGTGACACACTGGTTTCTGAGGGTCAAATGGTGCAGAGGGTTGTGTGTTCAACTCTCCTGAAATTACTGTGAGAGCTAGATGGTCTTTAAGGTCCCTTCCAATCAAACCATTGATTCTATTCACAGTCTTCCCCTCTTCCCAGGGCTCCCCTTGCTTAGAACTCTGGAGGAACAAGAACACCCCTTCCTCAACAACGCTAGAGCTGTGCCATGAGCTGTTCATTTTTAGCTAATCCCACCTGCTCATTTGCAGCAGGGTGCATGTCCTGTACACCTCCTGAGCTCCTCATGCCTTCCACACACTCACACATCCAGGAGGAGATGCCAGACATGGGACCAGACCTGCAGAAGCAGGCACAGCCAGCTGAACTCCTCCCTACCTGCATATGCATGAGCACCTGCCTGGTCCCTAACAGCAGCCAAATCTTTAAACAGCAAGTAGCTGTAGCTGAAGGCTTTGCTGGAGTTCAGCTGCCAGCAAATATACCCTGCTCTTTTTGAGGAATTTGGGGCCCAGGACAATCTGAAAGTACTGTATGTTGGGGGCTTGTGTGCCCCTCTGTATTTTGTAGATTTATTGCCCTGATTGTGATGATGAGATTGTGTGGTATGTCAAGGGTTAAGGGCAGAGGCAGTTGGAAAAGCAAGGTTTCTAGGAATGAAGAGGTTTGCTATCAATAAGGCTGGAACTACAAGTCTCTGCCTTGCAAAACTGTTGTCACGTAACCGTTGTCTGAAAATAAGGCTGTTCCTGACCTGCTTTTCTCCTCTGGCTTTGGTTTGTGGTTGGTAGCTGGTCTAATAGGAATAAAAAGTTCTGTGTGCTGGTAACGGTGAGAAATGAAGCAACAAAACACAGAAAGAATCTTTTGAGTCCTGGGCTCCAAACTGCTGTGCTCAACACAAGCAGGTACAGGTCGGCTTAGCCAGGACTGATCTCATGGACTGTCCTGGTGGCCAAGGCTAGAGTGACAGCTGGATTTTCCAGTGAGACATAGCTTCTATGTTCTTATTTTTGCCTCCCTTTTGCCTTTTTCCAGGGTGCCAGAGGGCCTGATGGACCAGTGGGCGAGCCGGGGTCACGAGGTGTCAAGGTGAGTGCCAAGGCAGCTCTGAGCTGTGCTGTGAAATGCTCTGGGCAGGATCGAGGTCTCATCCTCCTCCTCCAGGGCATGTTCAATTGCTCCATGAGGAGCAACCAGCACGGATGAGCCTGTGTTGCCACCAGAGTAAAATCTATCCAATGTTGGCATTGGGGGCCCTTCCCACACTCCCAGCTGGTTGGGGTGTACCTTGGGGCAGGATGGTGGGCATTTGTCCTCTCAAAAGCTGCAGGGAACTGGAGGGGATATTTGCTGGAAAATGCACAGGAGCAGATGGGCTGGGGCAGAAGAGCATCACCAACAGTTTGTGCTCCTGCTGATGTGATTTTGTCTTTTTGCTTTCCAGGGCCGACCAGGGGAGCCAGGCAGGCCGGGGCCAGATGGGCTGCAGGTATGTCCTCTGTGAGAGCCAGAGCCTGCCAAGCCTGGCATGGTGTCAGTCCTCTCTGTGGGGGCACCCACACGTTCCCAGTGCCCAGGGAACAGCAGCTTCTCCTGGCCAAAGTGCCGCGGGTGCGTCGGCACATTCCCGAATGCTGATTGCTGTAACTGTGTGTTTGCAGGGCAAGATGGGGGAGACTGGGGAGGCTGGAGCACGCGGCTTCCCAGTAAGTGTCCGTCCCTTGTGCTTCCTTCCATAACCTCAGGTTCACTCAAGTCTGTAAGTTTTGGGTCCTGGTTCAGGAGGGAGAATTTGGACAGTGTCTCACACTTAAAAGGGCATCTCCCCCCTCCTTTAACTGGAGCATTTATGAGATGCATGTTACTGCTGAAAGCCACGAAGGATTCTGTGGGGTTGGGGCTGACCCTGGTGTTTTTAATTTTTCCAGGGTATCCAAGGACCTTCCGGACCTCCAGGAGCAAAAGGGGCTCCAGGCGACCCGGCAAGTGTCTCATCACTCTCTCTTCCTCTCTCTTTCCTAGTGCACACACAGACACTTCATTTCTTTCTCTGTCTGTCTCCTCCCCACCACTTATCCCATTCCCAGCCTCTCTGTCCTTGCCAACTCCAGCGTGGTCAGAGATGTGAAGGACTTGGCTAGAGTCCTAGGAGCCATAAGGAAAGACAAGGTCAGAAAAGGGGGGCATGGATCAGCCAGGGAGAGTGTAGGATACAGGCTGGGGTGGATTTTTGAAGGGAAAAAAGAAGGGCAAGATTGGGGCTGGGGCAAGGTCAGATGTAACAGGAGGAGTTGGAGTGGGCTGGTAGGTTGAGTGGAAGGGGGACCAGGAGGGAGGCTGATGATGTCAGAACCGAGCCTACAGCTTGGGAGGAGGCACTGGGGGGTGACAGGGGAAGACACAGACCTCAAGTAGGGCCAACAGGACCACCAAAGCAAGAAGAGAGGTCTCTTCCTGCTCTCTGTGTCTGTGAGGACTGTCCTTGACTGTGAAGGGAGTGGGTAAACCAAGCACTTCTAGGTTGCCAACTGCAGTTATTTTAGATGGGAGCCAGAAAGATGAAAGGTCTTCTGAGCTCTTTGCCTGCTAAGGTGCCTCAGCACACCCATTGCTTGCCTCTCCATCTCACTGGCCAGCTCTTGCACGGTGCATAACTCCTCTGAGGTGTGGGGGGGAGCTGATGTTTTATCTTACAGACCACGGAAGTGATGGCCCTTCAGAAATGAAGACATGTATGAAAAGAATCTTGTGTATCTGTTTTTCAGGGTCCACAAGGACCACAGGGGCCACCTGGGCCTTTGGGAGAAATCGGGCATAAGGTAGGTGTGATCTTTGCTCCCGTTTGTTTTCCCCTTGCATCAAGAGTGGCAGGACTGAGGGGGGAGTAAATGTGCAGGGGCACATCCTTCCACACCTGGAGGTGTGGAACTATCAGGAAGGATTTCCCTAAAGTCTGAAAGTCAGTTTCCAAAGAAAACAGTGGAAATCAGAAATTTGAGCATCACTTCAATCGCAGGCCACAGACACCCAGCTGGGGGATGTGCAGACCCATCTTCACACCAAGAGAAACCTTTTAAGGGTGACTGCACCACGGACCAACTTATTGCACCAGGGTGCAGAGTCAGGGACCCAGCACAATGACAATTTAAACTGAGCACTGGCCTTTCCCCACTCCCTGGTGCTGCTGTTGACGTGACACAGGTTTGCCAGCCTGCCCAGATTGCCATGGCAGCCCCAGCACAGTGGAGGAAGCTCAGAGACTCCTCTGCTGCTGACGGTGCTGTTGGGCTGTCGTTGCCATGAAGCAGTGGCACAAACACACCACAACCGAGCAGCAGCTGCCAAACAGTGCCCTGATGGAGTGCAGGGAGACGCCTCCTTGATTTCCCCCTACCTCCTCAGCAGTTTTGGCTCCATTTCACTCCCATTGAATATTATACTCTTGGCTCTTTATACCAGGTGTGCCAGTCCCCCTTTGGTAGCTCCTTTCCATAGGTCCTGAGCTGTAACACAGACACGATGTTTCACTCAGTCGTGAAAACAGCAGCAAAGGTGGCTTTTAATGCAGTCTATGCAAAGGGTGTGAGTCATGAAAGTTTCCATTCTCATGGCTGCTAGACTGGATGGAGTGAGCTCTCAGCGTGGTAAACCACACTGGGGAGCTGGAAAGCTGCTACCCAGCCACTCTGGATGTTGCCAACCAAGAAAATACAGAGCTTCATTCAAATCTGTGAATCTTCCAGGAGCTTTTCTCTGCACTGGCACCTCTGGAGAAACCAAAGCAGGATTTTTGCTTTCATTGGAGCTTGAATTTTCTCATTGCGTGACTTGACCATTTGTTCACAAACTCAACATACACCCTGCTCCCTCCTCTGCTTGAATCCACTTCAGTAAGCCAGGAACTGGCTTTATTCCCTGGGCAGCTCCCTTGACTATGTGCTCTTTTTTCCTTTATTCCCAACTGTAAAGAGAAGGGAGATTGTTGTCCGGAATGCAAATATCATAAGTAAATAAACCACTCAAATCCTTTAAAGAGAAGCTTTACTGTCCCATCTTTGGGCTTTTTTTACTCATTCCCCACTCTTCCCAGAGGTAAGAGAAAAATGTACAAAGATTAAAGCTCCCAGTAGGTCTCAGTACTAAACATAGCAAACGACCATGACCCAGCTGTCATGGGGCTGCACATGGCACTGGACACTGAGGGAGTACAGTTTGCAAGGTCATTCTCCCATCTTCCTATCTTGCTTCCCATCATTTCCCAGGTCAGGCACTCGTTTTTGGCTCTCTGAGGGATGCCAAGCCCCTCTCAGAGGAGCGAGACACTTTCCCTCTGCTACTCCAGCCTGATTTCTGGTCTGATCCCAGCCATTGGTATTCGATGTTTTCTGGCCCAGTACAGCCAGAGACAGGGGGTGAGGGTTGTCAGGGCTAACCTGGCCAAAATTTGTGCTGGAGGATTCAGTGTAACCTTGCTGCTCTTGGCTCCCTTTAGCTGCCAGCACCATCATGCCCCTGGCTCTCTGGGAATAGGGGGCAAAGGCTCAGCCTGAAGCTGTGGAGTCTGGGGCAGATTAACCCTCAACAAAACAAGCCACATGGTTCATAAAATGTGCTCACACCAGTGCTAATGGAGAACTGGGGCTGCTGGGAATAAGGGAGCAAAAGCACAGCCAAGCATTTTTGTTGCCCACTGTTAACAGCCAGTCTCGACCCTGGTAAAGGGCTTTCAAGTCTTATTCTGGACCTTTCCCCCTCTTTCCCAGCTAGTTCCAGTGCGGTTACCTACCTTAGAAAGCAGAGGGGCTGGAAGAAGGTAGGGAAAGGTGCTTGGCAGAGGAGGCTGGGGAGAGGGGAGGTGTGAGAGTTGATCAGAGCCCTCCCAGAAAGCAGGCACAGGGGTCCTGGGCCTCTTTGATGCTGCGAACCCCGAGCCAGCTCCAGGGAGGTAATTGCATTGCAACCAGGGCTCGGCTGTCCCAGGAGGGCTCTGCTAAAGGAATTATGTCTTTGATCTTGCTTTCTCCTTAGTTACAATGGCTTTTTCATCATCTTGGATTTTTTTTTTTCCCAGGGACCGCCTGGCTCAATGGGACAACCTGGCCTTGCAGGTGAACCTGGCATGAAGGTAAGAAAAACCCCTTACTGCAATTCCTCTGTCAGACTGGGGAGATAATAGCAACCTGTGTTCCTGCAGGACTGAGTGACATTGCAGGTTTGCCCTCCAGCAGCTAAAGCAGAAAGTGCTTTCAACAAAAGATAAAGTTTAAAGTATAAAATCCAGTTAACTTTAGCCTTTGGTTGCAAATTCCTGAGCCCTAACCTGAGGGGGAGGCCATCAGTGCTGGGGAGAAGCACCGTCCCAGGGATCTTGTGCCTTAAGAACTGTGAAGGGCTTTGGAAATGAAGCTCAGCTCTCTTCAGATCCAAAATCTGAATGGAGAAGGGAGTCCTCAAGACCCAGAGATCCAGGCAGCTTCTAATTTGAAACCTGAAGTGTCTTAGGAAGGTCTCAAACTTAAAAATACCTTCAGTTTCCAAGCCTCAACTCTGTGAGGACTGAGCTCCTCTGATGGTTACAGGGAAAGGGTGGCCTGCTCCAGACTATGAATTCTCCTTCTTGTCCTCATGGAAAGGCCTATAAAAGCCATCTCTTTGTTTGAATAAGATCCCTGTGCTGAGCAGCTCAGAGGAGTTTTTATTTCATCCTAACCCCCTTGGTTTGAAGGTTCATTCCTGTGAGCAGAGCATTTGAACAGACTCTACGTGGGGATTAAATGCAGTTTCCTCTGTGCTGCTTTTCACTCTCACCCCCAGCCCCATCCTTTGCCATGTTTTCCTTGGCAAATCTTCTGACACTTCACTGGAGCTACTGTGCCTTTGGCATCCTGATACTGCTCGAGTGTTTTCAGCTCCTGTGCTCCTGGCTGCCCTCCTGGGGAGCAGGACACGATGGTTTGCACAGACACCCCTTTACCCACTGTCAGTGCAACAGGTCCTTGCGGGAAGTCGGGGAGGGAGAGTCCTGTCCTGCTCCTTCTGGAGCTTCCAAGCTGGAAGGAGCTGAACCGAGGCTGGTCTGGGCAGTCATCGCTTGCAGACCAGTTTTCTGGTTCTCTCCTTTTGGTGCCATCAAAGATTCAGGTGTTCCTCCAGGGGCTGGGGCTCAAAGAGCTGTTGGGTCTCTTCTCCCTTGCTCTGGTCATGTCTGCCACCACACCACACTGCACCCAGCATTGCTGCTTGTCTGGGAAGGACCATGCCCAGGGAATACCTGCAGGCAGCACAGACCACTCCTTGACCCCTGTCCTGTCAAGCTTTATTGCAACAGAGCCTGCCAGAGGTGTCCCTGTGCTGGGCCTTTGGACCCCCTTGAAAACTGAAGGTGTTTGTGTGGGAGAAGGAAAGAAAAAGTCAAAATGAGGAGTGCAATGGGACATGCTTCATGTTCACTCACCATCAGCAAACAGCTTGTCTCCATGTCTGAGTTTCCTTCTTTTTAGGGTGATCCTGGCCAGCTGGGAGTCCCTGGAGAGCAAGGTCTCATTGGCCAAAGGGTGAGTATGGCCACCTTTTCGTGGGGCTTCTGTGCCTTGACAGTTCCCCAGAGGATCTGTCCCTGCTCAAACACAGCTGGGCAGGCAGACCCTGCCCTGGGCATCCCGTAATCCTCATGGCCCCTGTTCCTTCTCTGGGAGGTGGAAGCCCCTTCCCCACAGAGTCTGTCAGCCTGAGATCACCAGCCTTCGTGAACCTCTGGGGTGCCACAGTGATGCTGTGACACCCTCTCGTGTGAAAGGGGCAGTGTGGGAACAGATGTGGGAACAGACCCCTCCTGTTTGCCAGGGGCTGTGTCCACACGGGGCAGGGGATGCTGGAGCAGAAGGAGGCATTAACAGGGAAACACTGGCTACACTGTGCACGTGTGGGAGGGAGCTGGGGTGGGATGAATGCATGGATTGAGGCTTCCAGGGTCTGTGTCCCTTCTCAGGACTGAGGTCAGTTGTTGGAGCAGGATGGGGAAGCCCCAAGTTACATGAATACAGACTGAGCCCCTTTTCACACAGGGAAGGAGGTCTTCCCACAGGCCAGCAGCAGATCCGTGGAGGGGAAACTATGGCTCAGAATAAAGCAAGAGGCTGAATTCTTGCTCTTGCTCCAGAGGAAGCTTGTTCAGCATTAGGGTATGGGATAGGACACATGTCAAAGTGCAGGGTTGGGCTCCCATTGCTGCAGCCCCACTGCTGCCATGAGTCAGCTGCAGAAAGCAGAGAGAAAAGCATGTTTAGGCACAAACTCATGGTGCTTTCTTCTGTCTGCAGGGAGAATCCGGGCTGGAAGGGGACAGCGGGCTGCCTGGGCCAGATGGGATCAAGGTAAACCTCAGTCTCGTGGAGTTTCAGCTCTCACACACATCTCTGTGCACTCAGGTCCCTGTGATCCCTAGGGCCAGCATGAAGCCAAGGGGGTTACTGGGTCCTCTGTGCAATCAGCCTCTGCCCTGCTCTCTCCAAGGACTTTTTTCTGCAAGCACACATAACAAACTCCTCCTGTTTCACTCCTCTACCCACATTTTTGGCATCTGATCAGATCTCCAAAAAGGTCAAGTTCTTCAAAATCTGGTTTCCAACAATTTGTCTGTTTTATTTGAGTCTTTACAGAACAAATTTCCAACTAATCAGGAATTCCTGGGCCTGGCAAGGGGAATCAAGAATTGTCCATCACTCTCCCATGCACCACTGACCAGAACAATGTTAGCAAGTAAAGAAACCAGGTCCCTCTCCCCTTGGCAGAGCCCCAGGTGCTCACTCAGGGCTCATTCTGTATCTAACTGCTGTGAGTTTGCTACCTTGCCTTTGGAACAGGACTCTGACTCCTGTCCTTGCACAGCCAGCCTTTCCAAACAGGCCAACGATTTTGTTCCATGGAAAGAAAGAGCAACCAATCCCACAACAATGCAGTTTATTTCTTCATTCTAGTTAAGCTATTTGCCATGTGTCTCTATTTCTGCTTATCTCTGAATGTTGGACCAAAAAACCTCTTCCTTAAGGACAGTTAAGGCTTCTGTATTCTCTGACTGTCCCCAGGAGCTCTTGAACCAAACCAGCTCTTTCCAATCCAAATGTGTCTCTGGACAGTTAACCAGATGTGTCTCTGCTCCTTAACCAGACAAGATGTTGCTGAGCTCTCACCATGCAGGTGCAAGAGGAAAATGACTCAGTAAAGGCTAGTTGGCTCCAAAAGTGCAGGTGCTGATCCCAGTATAGAACTGGAGTGGTAGTACTGAATAATGCGAAATACTGACAATCTTTTATTTGTCTTGATAGAAGAAAAACAGCTCCAAACTTACTTCTTCTTACGCTTCTGTGATTGTATTTCTGGTCTGCATTCCAGTTGGTTGTCATTGATCCATACTGAAGTTTCATTATCTGCCAGATTTTTTCCTAAATTTCCAAGACTGGTTTCACCAGGGAAGGTTTAAGTTAGACATTAGGAAAAATTTCTTCACAGAAAGGGTAGTCAGGCATTGGAACAGGCTGCCCCAGAAAGTGGTAGAGTCACTATCCCTGGAAGTGGCAGCTGGGGACATGGTTTAGTGGTGGGCTTGGCAGTGCTGAGTTAATGGTTGGACACACTGATCTTAAAGGTGTTTTCCAACCCAAATGATTCTATGATTCTGTAACTATAAGAACAGTGATTTGACAGGGCACCTACTGCTCAGACCGTAAATCCTTCACAGGACACGGTGACACTGTTTTCCAGAGTGTTTGTTTGAGCCCTGGACTGATTTTTATTTGGCAGTGAGAGCCAAGCAGCCACTCCAGACAAACCCATCCTATTAAAAGCCTTCCAGCATCCCAAGCTCAGGGCTTCTGGGTGAGGCGAGGCAGGCTTTCAGATCTTGTCTGCCTGCCTCATTCACGTGGGAGGTTCAGGCCCTATTGCAGGAGAAGCAAAGGGGGGTTCAGGTTACCCTGTGTAATGGGGGAGTTCCTTCTCCTCCAGCCAAGAGATTTCAAAGAAAAGAAACCTGGTTTTCCTCCTTTTTTAAATGTCAAGTGTATTATGACTCATCCTCATTCATCCTTTTGCTTGCAGGCTCTTTTCCTCTCAGACTCCTGAAATATTAATTATGTGGTGGGTTTTTCCTTGCAAGAGGCAATGCACAGTGACCCATGTGTTGTGTGGGCATGAAAACCTCCCACTCTCCTCTCTTCCACAGGGGGACAAAGGAGAGCAAGGCCCAGAAGGAGAGAAAGGAGAAAAAGGCAACGAAGGACTGAAGGGAAAAGAAGGACCTCCTGGATATCCCGGAATCACAGGTGTCCGAGTGAGTCCGCGAATCCAGCCCGTGGGCGATCCATGGGTTCCCTGTGGTGATGAGTGTGTGAACCAGGACACTGCTTAGGGCAGGAGGCCATCTGAGATGTCACTTGTTGCAAATGCTGTCGTAAAGTATGTTCTTTTTGTGAAAAACTGCATCTGGGGGCTGGTTTGGTCTTTCAGTCAGGACATACTTGAGGTGTGGATCACTCCTCTGGTCTGCCCTAGGCTTTGGGACAGTGCCTTCCTCCTGCACATGCAAGACAGATCTGGCAGGATGTTAGAGAGGAAGGTCCAGAGGGCTGTGAGGGGTTGAGTTTCCCCTGGCTGGCACAGCTGACTTGGGCCTGCAGCCTGGAAATGACCAAGCTTGTACCTTCTCTGGTGATTACTTACTTGCTTCTGGTCTTCCCTTTAATATTTTATATTTAATTTTATATTATCTGTATATATTTATATATATTTTACATATAAATATATATATATTTAAGGCTCCCCCAAATATAGGAAACAAAGAGGTGAAATTAGCAGGAAATTATTCCTGAACCTTCAGTGAATATCAGGGGCATGTGTGATTTGCTTGAGCGTCTGGTCTCAGTGCCACAGAAAGGAAAAGTGTGACTCTGGCCCTGACACGAGAGCAGTGGGAGCCCTGGCTGGGGCTCATTCGGTGGTGCCAGGTGGAGGATGGCTCTGCCCAGTGCCCCAGTGGGCTGCTCTAAAAGTCAGGCCCTTCTGGTTGAAATGTGGGGTTTATCAGCTTAATGGCATGGTTTATTCATTGTCATTGTTGTCATGGATGTAAGTTGTCAGAAGCATGGGGCTTGTCCTGCAAAGGGATGGCCCAGCTGTGAGTGGGATGCAGCCACCCTGACCAGAGGCCATGCCTGCCTGCAGCACAAGTCTCATCCCTTGTGCAGCTGGAGAACATCCCAGCTCCTACCCCACACATCTGTGGGAAAGAAATGAGTAGCCCATGTTTGGTGGCAGCTCTGAAATCCCAGCCTGGGATGGGAGGAAGGCAGCAGAGCAGGCAGGTACCGCCGAGCACTGGGTGGATGCTCGGTGGTGAAGCATGTTGATTTTCCTTTTGGTGACGTTGTGGCTGGCTAAAAAGAGAGCAGGGAGAAGGGTGTGAGGGGATGGAAGCAGAAAAGGAGATGGATTTATGTTATTTTTGGGCTGAGGTTGGGATTTGAACACTGACTCAACTAGAAAGTGGAAACATTGGCTTAAAGCTGCGGTGCAGCACCATAAATGTGCAGAATAAGCCTGTAGTCCTGTCCCAAATAAGGCCACCCTTGGCCACAGCCCCCTGTACCCACAGGGAGCCCTTTCAGGATTGGGATCATACCATGGGGTGGTCCCCAGTACCTCAGCTCCCTCCCAGCTGCAGACTGGCACAGCTGGACAGTCGCCCATCATGTGCTGTACTTCTGGCTGGTTCACGTGTTTATATTGTGCATGTTTTAAGAACCAATAAAAATACTAAAATCATGCAAATGCCATATTAAGTTATAAAATATAAAATATAGATTCTCTCAGACTCAATCCCTGCTGTTTGCCAGCATGTCCCTGGGAACATGATGCTGTTTTCTGTTTTATTTTAAAAAAAAAAGGAGTCAATGAGCCAAGATTCCTGCTCATAATCACTCCCTTTTGTTTTTTTTACTGCAGAGTGCTATATTTCCATCTACTATTTTAATATGCTTCTTTGTATATCCTTATGCCTAAACTCAAGCAGCCTTTCAGACCTGCACAGGCTCCAGATAGTGCTGCCTGCCCTGCCAAACTCCGTTACCTAATACACAGGCTGGTGTTCCTGTGCTCGCTCTGAGGTCATTCAAATCTGGAAGTCCTCTGACAGAAGTACAAATAATTTTTCTCTTCCCATTTTTTCCTTTTTGAGACTTCCATTCTACCTTCCCATGGAGAGTACAAATATTAACGGGATCTCCCTTAGATAAGGTTTGCAGAGATGCAAACAACTAGAGATAACTTCAACCCCATCCTTTTCAGCTGAGCGATGGATGCTGGAATATCCAGCCAAGCCATCCTCTGGAAGACATGCCACAAAAGCCACCACAAACTGCACAATGCAAGGGAGGCTTTAAGGCTGCTGAACAAAGAAAGCAAAAAAATCTTGTCGTGGAAAAGCTGTGAAGGTGTTCACCCAAGGGCAAATGTCAAGGTGACAAACTCCGTGCGGGATTTGTACGGTGGCTCAGAAATTGCTTGGGGAAGGGTGTTGGAGGCACTTGGACTGCAGGGAGGAGGCACATTGGGTTTGGGTGTGCTGCAGATACTGTGTGATTACACATCACATGTTGCATATGGTTTTAATACTTCTGATGTGATAGTGTTGTGCTGTCCAATACTCAGTTCAGATGGTTCAAAGGTTCTTCGTCTTTAGCTATTACATCTTCATTTGGTCTCTCCTGGCATGACACCCAGGAGTCCTTACATCTGTGCTTCACCACATTCCTGCCTGGATCCACTGAAGTTTTCCTGGGCTAGAGATGTTGCCTCTGCTCCAGTAATTGGGATAGCCTGCTCAGCTACAAAGGAGACAGGGGAGATGTCGATGCCTCTGTGCTGTTCCTGGGAGACGCACACACCAGGATCTGTGCAGTCACATGTGACAACAAACTGACCTCCATCTGGGAGTTTTAGCTCATCTTCTGCTTCTGGAAGAGATTCGTGTTAACCTGAGGAAGCTGATGCCCGTCTGCAGTCATGGACACAAAGACAAGCTTTTGCTATGCCTTGGCTTGGCCCTGTTGTACTGGAGGGGACCCACAGAGACATGCCCTGCATGGACTGCAACAGCCTCTGAAAAAACCCTTTTCATCACAAGTCCCTGCAGCAACACCACATCTTGAAGATTTGTCCTTAACGCCAAGGACATGTTTAGTCTTAATCTTTATTTTGCTTATGTCTACAGGAATGTGGCACTTCACTCTCAAGTGTCCTCCTGACAGATGTAGGAAATGAGGCGCCTGATGGCTCTGAAATGATGTGACTTCACTGCTGGTACATTTTCAGCCCATTTTGTATATTCTGGCCTGGGGCAGAGTCTCAGTGCAGCCACAGAACAGGTAGGAGCTGGGGAACTTGGCAGGACACGTACCAGCTCACACGCCATGTGGCAATGGGCCAGCACAACGGAGGGAAGGAGATTGGTTCCTGGGCCTGCACAGTCCTAGAGCTCCCTGGAGATGGCAGAGGAAGGGATGTAATGGAGCACCTTCGAAAGCTGGAGAAAGCTCAGAGGGTCTGTTCAGCCCTTCCGGGTCATGCAGAAGAGAGACGTTCACCCAGCAATCAATGGGATCAGCAGGGACACATCTGGCTTTGCTGGGCAAGGCTTCATTTTCCAGAAAGCCATCCCAATGCTGATACAACGCCTGAGCACAACCAAACTTCCCTCTGCACTCAGGAAATGTTTTTCAGGGATCGTTAGCTTTAATTTCGCTCAGCCATTTCCAATATTAACATATCTGAAAACCGGTTTCCACTGTGGTTTTGAATCTCAAACAAAAAGCATCAGGGAGGCCCCATCCGAGTCTCCAGGGGCAGTTTGTACGTGTTTCAAAGCCAGTGGATTTCAGCAAACAAACCTGGCAGCTGAGATGGTCCATGAGTCTCACAGCTGTGGCTGGCAGGGCTCGAGGCAGCTGGAGCTGAGATAAGTGAGTATCCTCTATCTTTTGGTCACTTTGTCCAAGATCACACTGCTCCGTTCAGCTCCAGTTCCTGCTCAGTGGAGGAATGGGCCAGTTGCCCCCTGGTCATAAGACAGAGATCAGAGCACAAGCGCAAGATCCAGTTGAAATTTCCAAACTTACGTTGGAGATGTGCACCTTTCCTGAGCTGCTGGCTCACATTACCTCCTCCCAGTGGCTTCTATCTTCTTCTAATCCTAACTTGTTGCCTTCACTTGCCCTTGACTCTCTTCTGAACGTGGCTCTTTGTCCTCTGGTGGCTCCTCGGAGCAGCAAAGAGCTGAAAATCCCTTCCCATTGTAGAGCACCAGGGGCTGTTTGGGTATCTGCATTCAGAGACTGGCTGGAGACAGACCTCAGGGTCAACAGTGCAGGGAGCAGGAGTCATGCCCTGGAGATCCAGGTTTTCTCTGTGGGCAGGGCAAGACAAGGATATGTCTCCTCAGTATGTGGAGAGACTGAAAGGTACGACAGCCTGGTGAACCCTGGCAAGGCACCCATCAGCAATGCAAGTGTCCCAGTGTGGTTGGCCAAAATAAAAAGATGATTTGTCTGCCGACTTGTAAGGCTGTGAAGGAATGGTCCACAGAACCTGAGAACATTGCTAGAGAGGACCATGCATTCACAAAGGATCTGGCTGCCCATCAGTGCTGCTCGTGGCAACAGAGGATGGTAAGAGCCAGAGGTTGAAGTCACTGGTGTGGAACCAGCAACCTGGTCACAGGCAAGTGGGCCCTGAGAACAACCCCTCCACCCAAAAAGTGCTCCCCCCCACTGCTCCTCCTCTCCACCGATGGAAAATTCGGCATTTCAGCCCTTCCCTGGGAGGACAAGGGATCCAGCAGTGGCTGAGGAAGGCCCAAGCCATTTGGCAGCAGGGAGGTGGTGGGTTTCCAGCTGCGCTCCGTGGCTCTGCACTGTGGTTTTCATAATGTGCTGGTTGTCATACATGGCAGACATCTGATAGCAAGGGTTTTACAGTTCCAGGAAAGCAATTGGAGAGCCTGGAAGTACTGAAATGCAACATGCTCCGAAACAAGAAAATCCCTCATTGTTCAGCAAAACTGGGAGTCGAGTTCTTTCCACTTCCTTTTTAACCTGAAATCCTATCTGCAGTGTCATTCAAGCCACGTCAGGACTCGGAAAGCTTTGAGCCAGACGCTCCAATGGTCTAAATTGCCATAAACAATTACATCAGAGAAGGTCTGGCTGCGTGTGCCGGCCCCGCTGCGTGGTGCAGATGTGCACTATCAGCCCAAAAGAGCTCGAAGGGCCGTAAATC